GCGTTTCTTTAGTTGTGCTCACCAATGTAGAATTATGGTCTACTATGATATTAGTACTGCTCTAATAATAGACCTAATCCTAAAATTGTAGATTTGTCATGATATAACTGCCTAATCTATAAGATCTTACGTGGAAGTCACACCATCGACTACACCAACTCACTGTATCGTATCAATTGCCAATACATGATGTAGAACAAGGTTAAGCTAGAGAAAGAACAATATATTTAATATGAATAGGAGATATAAGATAACATCCAGCAGGGACCACGCCTGCATGGCTGAGCCATGCCACTCGATCAACTCAGTCCATTCAATTCCTTCTTCGCGCCTTCTCCATTGTTAGGTATTTCTCCGCGTTAAATATTGGATATCTATTTCCTGAGTAGTCTCGTGTTCAGCTTTGTGGATTGTGCGGTTATTGTCCAATGCCACTACAAGACGACAGTCTCACGTCCGGATCAGCAGACCACGCCGCCCTTGACTTGGGATGAGATTGCAGGCTCACGCGACGCGAACGAGACTGCCGTCTCACGTTCCGGTCGCCGAGTACGGTTGCCCGTACGCTTCTGCGAATAGTCGCACAGTCAACAACCGATACGGTATAGGATTATTCCTATACTACACGTATGCTACACTTCTCTTTTTTGATTTTCTTTTTGTTTCCTGAGCCCACGCCCTCGACCATCTCCGTTTGGTTCCGTCGACTTCAGTCAACTTTGGCGAAAGCTGGATTAGCCACCCACGCTCTTGTCAACGCACTCAGTCGATATATTGGTTTCGAATGCTCGGCATACGCTTGGTCTCGAACTTGGTCGTTACGGTCGCTTCTGGTCTTTTGGCTCAACGTGGTTTCGTCCTACATCTGCAGCGTTTCTGGTGCGCACCCCTACGAACGCCATCTTCAGATTCTGGATACAAACCATTCTGGTGTAGCATGCCAACTCAAGCAATAAATACAACACATCGCTCCTGGTACCGTTCTCCGAAAACGACCTTCGTTGGCAACTCGACGATCAACGATCGCTTTCCTGTTCGCCAATTCTCCCGTCCTACAATCGCTCGTCAGCCGATCAGTCCCACGATTCAAACCGCTATTTATCGAAAGCGTAAGCCCTTTCTAACGGGGGGCTCTTGTAGTGACTCACGTTTATCACGAGAACACGACTGGTTTAATAAAAACAATTATTATTGTAACCAACTGTACCAGTGTTTGTTTTAATGTGCTTTTGTTTAACTGTGCTAATTATAGCCATTTTGTGCTTCCATTACCTTCCATCATTGTTCCGCGGTTTTTGGTACTGTTCGCACGTACTCCTGTCTTCTGCTTTCACTTGTACCATTTCTTGGCACGATCTCGGTATTCGTTCAATACCACTGTAGTGAACAAGAACACGGGTGGGGACAATCGATTGTATTTAGCACAAAGATTACAGACTATCTCGATAAAATGTGAATACCATAAAGTCAATCGTCAATTTGCAAAATATCATTCCATCATATCAAACTGTACTGTTCCCGTTGCAAACACTAATCCATTGTCTCCCATTCCATTGTACATGCGTTTTCTTACAATTCCATTGTGCTCTTGCTCTTCCTTTCTTGATCTTCGGCATCTTCTGCTGCCGGACATTACGTTCTTTTAACGCACGTTATATACTACTTATATGAATATAAGTAGCTCACACCACACCACGAGATCGCCAACGAAATAAATCTGGTTACGTTCGATCTTCGCCTTCTGATTTATCTGGCACGTGTTTCTTGGTAGCGGTGTTCACAGTTAATCTCAACTCGACGCCACGCTACAAGTTATTCACGTGTAAAGAGCAATCGGACATGGATTGTTTGCACCACGTTTCCGTAATAAGTACAAGGGTTGGATTTATAAGGATGTAAAGGGGTTTAACGTGAGTAATTTCATTGGACAGAGAGCGGGCGGTAAACTAAAGAATAAGAAACTGAGAGGTATCACGATGAAGCAGGCTTGAGTATAGATCACAAGTTGTAGTCCTATGAATACTCTTGGAATTGGCTATGGTAATAATTATGTTATGAGGAGGAGTAAATTCAACAAATTTGTCACCACTTGTAACCTGTTTACCGTTGTCAGCATAAAAGTCGACGGAATTACAAGAGATGTCTCCTGATTGTTATTAATCATAACGTCTGATGGAGGCATAGAGTACATGTAGGGGGCCGGACCAAGAAGGCTATCAGAACTGTATGCGACGAAGTGGCCGTTCACAATTCGGTTTACTTTTTATACCTGGTGTATGTGTAACATGTCCCATACATTTATTTCCAAGGTTTGTGGTTTGTTTTAGCTCCTTCGTAATTTATGGATAATCGAGTGTTGTTAGACATACTTGCGATGGTTTGCAAGGTTCGAATATATCGGTGTTCAGTATGTGGTCAGTTATTAATTATTGCAACTGTTTCGCCCGTTAGACGTTGTACAGTTACTGACACTGGGTGATGCACTGACGGGGTCTTGAACGGTATTGTCTCATTCATTATCGGTACGACTACTTGGGGTAAGATCTAAATAAGCATTTTTAGGAGAATGAACACCACCGACATAGGATTAATAACTTCTGGGTTCTGAGCTTTAAGAGGTTCAGGAGTGTTTATCAGTGGTGGCATATTTGTAACGTCAAAATTTCTCCTAAAATCGAACTTAATTTTACGAACTTTAGGATTATGATGAGTTTATGAGTTTGACGCTAATGGTCTGTGACTATATATTTCTGCTTTCCCATTGCGTGATGTCTTATCTCGAAGAATTTTAATATCCTTGAAAATCTCTTTTTATCTCATCGTATTTGGGAAAGTCAGAAACTCGCCAGAGTCTGCAGATGAGTTGAATTTGAACATGATCGACGAGTGCATATCAAGGTGAATTCTTTTTAGTCTTATGCACACACATGGTACATGTGTCATATTGATGGCTCCAAGCACATTTGACTTGATATTTTTAAGGGCATATGTATCTGAGATATTAAACACAATCGCACCGGTAGATCGTCAAGTTCTTGAAACACGTCCGAAGCAACACGATCTGGGAAATTATTTGTGTCACTAATCTGATCTGGAACCTCTGAAAGGTTGGGTTTGATGAAATACTTAAGATGATTGAGAATTTTCATGTCAACTTTCAGCTTTCTTATATCGTTCATATAGTCGCAGCTGTGAATATCACCACCGTTTACCAACAGAGTCTTCAACATGTCTGGAATGGAGACAACTAGTATAAGCTGCTTCCGGATGAACGGAGTAGCTCGGCTCGTTGAAACTGTCAGAAATCGTGTCAGTAGTGGTGTTAGATCGCTTTATTTTCTTAAGTTTGGCCATCGGGGTTTTCAATTCTTTTTAAGGCATGATAAGAAGTGGTAAGCAGCATATGGGTTGGACAAAGTGTTGGAGATAGAAACAGGTGAAAAAATCAATGCTGAGGGCTTAAGATAGTTTGGAAATCAAATTCTGTGTTTGAAACAACAGTGAATGTGTCGTGAAGATTGGTGAAGATGACAAATACAGCAGGGGAAAATTTCAGGAAGAATAAAATTTAGTATATGTAAGGAGGTAAAATAGAATATATATGCACATTGGATAAATTTTAACGTGTAGATTACACGGAACTGTAGACTTACATAATAAAGTAATCTAGAACCATCGATAATAATTATGAAACACTCAAAGTGGGTACGGTATGTGGTACATGTATAAACAAAGCCTGAATCATTTAAAATTGGGAGGTGCAGAGATAAGTAGTTTTAAAGATTATTACCATTTAGAGTTATTATGATGCTTGATGACCAAATATACGAAATAGCTTTTTAGGTAAAAATACTGAACAAAAACTACGACAGACTCGTCGAAGTGAACAGGAAATTCCAGAAATTTATTGAGTAATAGCATCCAAACACGATTTAAAAGTTAATATATAAAAAAGTATGTAACGCTCAGAGAATAGTGCTTCATCGTACATAATCATGTATCTTTAAATGTCAGACAAAGGTCTGAATAGATCCTGTACATACGTAAAGTATGTAGGTTATAGTATCCAAACACGACATAAGAGATAATATACAAATATTGAAAGCAATTATTCGTCATACATAGTTATATATGGTTTTGAAGTGACAGAATATGGTTCTGCCGGATAGTCAAAAGGAATACGTATATGAATATGACCAAATACACCATGAATATGCTAAACTATCAGGTGACAAAATTGCCAGTCGGAATATCGACTTCTATGGCTTTGCCCCGGTGCTTAGTTTGTCAGTCAGCACTCGTTCAGTCCAGAACACAAGTATCACTCTCATCTATATGAATGAACTTATTCCAGACATACGTGGTTTATATACAAGCAGACCAGACCGCATCAGTCCATGAGACGAGAAATAATGATGATAAGACGTCAGTCCAAAACTGGTTATGAGTATAGGAGAATAACTAATAGATTGGGAATAAATTAAGAACTGTAAATCGTATAACAGTAGTTAATCGGTCAAATGAAGACTTATGATAAGGGGAACATAAATATATATGATCTAATCACTTAGCAATTATACGATAAGTATATGTATATTATCATAGTTTATAAATAATTCTTGGAAGCTACCACCCACTTATTCTTCGTTCATACATAAAAAATTCAAACAAAGTCAGGGATGAAGGGGGTTAGAAGATAAATTTGTAAGATGGTTAATACGTCAAAAGGTATGTGGTACAAGCTGGCTAGGTGAAAGGGCTGCATAGCATGACGTACATAGTTTGGTCTAATGTATTTTATTGACCGAGCACTTTCAGATAGAGCGTGTTAAATAAAACTGACGATCTCAAGATCAATATCAAAGACCCGCAGAATTATTTGTTTTGGGGATTCATCCACATACTGAGCAGAATTCACATGTTGCGGAAGCTTTGTTCTCAAGGTCGAGGTGTGTAACAAGTCAGTTGATAGTGTTTGCTGTCTGTGTCCACCTTCAGTAATGTTGAAACATGTTTGCAATTTTTTGATAGGTTTGCTAATCTCATCATTTGGTGCCAGCATCTGGTTTTCAAAGACACCGATGTATTCTGTAGCTCTAATTACTTGTCCGAATTCCACAGTCGCGGAAACTATTGCAGATACTCTAGTTAGTAGAAAACTGGCAGCTTGTGTCAATATCATACCCTCAATTAAGTCTGTTTACGTTTGGGAAGGGAAGGTGGAAAAGTCAGACGAGCTTCTTCTAATGGCGAAAACTCAATCAAAGTTGGTACCTTCTCTAACGGAGGTTGTCAAAGAAATCCACCCTTATGAATGCCCGGAAATCATTAGCTTAAACATTGAGGGGGGTTACCCACCGTACCTTAAATGGATTATGGAATCCACATCTTAGTAGTAAAAATGAAATTGTACATTTAAATAATAAATACTTTTCATACTCTAGTCCTTCTGTAAAGTTTTACCTCTTAGTATAAAAGAATTTTTTAGATATGGGTTCTGCTGCCTCTCACCAAACTCGAGATGTGACTTTCCACCCCGACGATATTGTAGTAAGTTATTCTGTTACATCATAAGTCTGTAAGATTAGCGAAGATGTAATTAAGCGAATCAAAAATGCTGCTACCACCGAGGATAATACGAAAGGTTGGTACATCGTTTGTTAGCCTAGCTTTGAGATGACGTTCGTGCCCCAGAATCGTTCAAACCGCAATATAGCCTAGGTTTAAAACATGAACTAGAAGAGGCAGAAAGAAGATACGAAAAGCTCCTGCAACTATTAGAAAAACGTGTACGTTTCTGTTTTTCATTAAGCAATGCAATTCATGGTGTTTTCATTTTTATTTTGTCTTGAAGTAGACAATAGAGTATTCAAACCCTTTCTACAAGTCTCTTCACTTATACGAACATTTCAACATATATTGTACCACAAGGGACTAATTGATGTATTATTTCATATTGCTTATGTTTCTTACGTGCATCTGAGTAATCTGCCTTGTAAGTCGATTCTGTAGGGATTTCTTATTACGAGTATTACTTGCCCTTAGTTCTTTAACGCAGACGATTAGATCCAAAGGTTTGGAAAAATAATCCGCATTATTCCTTAGGATATGATGTACGCTATTCCTCCCTTCTTATGGTAACTGTGTTATGTCCCTATTCCTTTCATTCGCTAAGCGGTTCTCACCTAATCTTTATTTTATTTTAATGTTATGCAATTATTCGTGATAACGCTTTGTTTTTTCGCCACCATGTCTATTAGTTCTAATATTCATCTGAATGATAACAATTTAGTAATCTTCGAGTTTTGACAAAGCACCAGGGAAAGGAATCTCCACCGTGTACTCTACATTTGTGGTTGAAAAATGACTACCGCATCTACTATATTTTAACGGACAAGATGCTTTAGGTGGTTAACCGCTTTACTTACCTAGTTGGTTATATCGTCTGATGGTGACCAATGAGACTTTTAATACATACACTCAAGTTCACATTCACATACCGCTATCATTCATTAAGCCTGTGAGATTTCTGTCTCCAGTCTAGTAAACATTTCACCAACATGTTGTTTCCAGAAATAGAAGTGAAGTGTTACCGTCAAAACCGTAAGCAAGGCTTTCAGCAGTTTAACTTATATCATTTTCACTTCGTTCTCCTAGCCTATTAAGATTATAGAAACTTTCCTTTCTCAAAACGGAGTCTTTTCTGTATTGCCCCATGGCTGTGAAAATGGGGTATACTGTTACAAAATATGGAAAGATTGCTAGTGTTTATAAGCATTATTATTATAAGCATAACTGAAATATGGTGGAGCCTGCAAGCTAGTAATTCTGCGGATAGACTTCGTGTTCTACGTGGAAATAATTAATCTATTATTGACTATATAAATCTTCATCAACTTGGCTAGGGCATATCTTGCACATGCCTAGCAAGAGCCTACGCTGATGCTCAGTTCTGGTTGGCATGAGAGTAAGTTGGAATAAGGTTAGGGTTGATCATTCGAAAACATTTTGCCAGTTCATGTAGAAATTAACTGTTAGGCTGAGCAATATCAAGGGATTTGGATTTCATGACTGAGTATTACTTAAAAGTCTCATTATACAGTCGGAGACATTGAGTGGCATGACCCAAAATCTATTCTCGTGTTACAGTTAGATTAATTTTTTATCTTCCTCAAAATAATGACTTAATGTCATACCGTACTTTTCATTCTTCGATTTAATCGTTCCTTCCGAACCATGTTTTTACTTTTATATTTCCATTCTAATGATTGTTGCTGCCACTCCTCTTCTGCTTTTCACCTTGTGAATTTCTTGTCCTCTTGAGATGTGGCAACTCGAATTGATGTCAACATGGTACATGTGGTGTTAGGTCACTCCTACTAGTGGACACTGCAACTTAATCGATAGAATTCGACCAGCACTAAAAAGTACTTATTTACTTACCTGTTATCCCTTGTGGAAGAACATAGGTTGCTTACTAGCATTCTCCATCGAAATCTGTCCTGAACAATCTTTTCCAGTTACTATTTGTTCTTTTGATGTCTGCCTCAAATTCCCGACGCGATATGTTCTTCGGCCTTCCTCTTTACATTTTCCCATCAGGATTCTAAGTTAGCACTTGCCTCGTGATGAAGTTTGATGATTTCCGCAGTGTGTGTCCTATCCACTTCCAACGTCTTTTCTTAATTTCCTTCTCAGCTGGAAGCTAGTTTGTTCTCTCCCACAGTAGGTTATTACTGATGGTATCCAAACAACGGATATTGAGTATCTTGCATAGAAAACTGTTTAGAATTACTTGTACCTTCTTGATGATGGTTGAAGTAGTTCTCCACGTTGCAGCTCCGTATGGTAGAACTATCTTGACGTTCGTATTGAAGATTCTGACTTGGTAGTTCCATATGTCCTTCAGTTGTTGGGATGTTGCCTTTGGTTTGCCAATCCTCGCTTTTACGTCTGTACCTGGTCCTCCTTGTTCATCGATGATGCTGCCCATATACGTGAAACATCCCACATCTCCCAGAGTTTCGCCATCAAGTATGATTGGGTTGGTGTTCTCCGTGCTGTATTCGAGGATCTTGCTTTTTCGTTTGTGTGTGTTAAGGCCTACTGATGCAGAGACTGCTGCAACACTAGTTGTCTTCATCTGCATTCGCTCGTGTGTATGAGATGAGAAGACTAGGTCATCTGCGAAGTTCAAATCGTCTAATTGGTTCTGAACTGTCCATTATATTCCGTGCTTCTCCTGAGATGAGGTTTTCATAATCCAGTCAACCACCAGAAGAAAGAAGAAGGGGGAGAGTAGACAGCCTTGTCTGACTCCGGTCCTCACTTCGAATGCACCAGTCAGCTGTCCTCCATGCACTACTTTGCAGTGTAGTCAGTCGCATGAATTCCGTACGATGTTGACGAATTTCTCAGGTACTCCATACCGTGGAAGAAGTTTCCATAATGTTCTCTTGTTCACACTGTCAAACGTCTTCTCATAGTCAATGAAGTTGATGTATAGTGACGAGTTCCATTCGCTTGATTGTTCAAGTATGATCCGTAGTGTCACAATTTGGTCTGTGTATTACCGATCCTTACGGAATCCGGTCTCTTGATCTCAGATTTGCGTGTCTACTGAGTTATTCCTCCAGTTCAGCAACACTGTTGAAAACCTTTTCATTGTACTGATAATAGTGTGGTGCCGCTGTAGTTCTCAGTCAGTCGGTCAGTCAGCTACAACTTAGGACCAGGCACATATGTGCATCGGTCCAGGTTGCCATACCGCATCAGCACAACAAGATGAACACCATTACTTACATTCATCAGAGCTGTTTCCAGAATGTCATCGATGGCAAAGTTGAAGAGGAATGGTGAGATTGGGCAACCCTGCCTAACCCCACTGCTCGAATGGAACAATGGAGAGAGGTGGTTGTATGCCCTCGCTCTGCCTGAGGTGTTTTTATATAGGGCTTTTAGGATGTTAATAAACTTCTCAGGCACACCCTTCTTCAATAGACAATCCCAGAGAACAGCCCTGTCCAACGAATCGAAGGTAGCCCTGATGTCAAGAAACACTACGATTGTTGGCCTTTGAAAAGTATGGCGCTGTTCTAACATTTGGCGGAGGGTGAAGATATGATCAATACATCCTCGACCAGAACGAAACCCAGCCTTCTCCTCGCGAATCAATCTTTCTCGGGTTTTGAACAACCTACGAAGAATGACGGAAGCCAATAGCTTGGACGCAATCGGAAGTAGACTTACCCCCCGATAGTTGTTACAGGAACGACGTGAACGGTTTTTAAAAATAGGGACAACTATGGACTCATTCCATGACGTTGATACACTCTCTAGCTCCCAAACCTTTGTAAACAACGTCGTCAATTCCTTAGTCAGAAAGTCACCACCATCTTTAAAAAGAGCCGGAGGTAAATCATCTGGGCCAGGTGATTTGTAACGCTTCAAGAGTTGGAATTCCTTACGGACTTTCTCCTCGTTTGGTGGATCAGTCGTCACCGGCCATGGAGGGCAGGACAGTCTGACCGATGTTGCCGGAGCAGCAGGCCAGTTGAACTGCCCTTCGAAAAATTCTGCCCACCGTCCAACACGTCGATGGATGTTAGTGATTGGCATCCCATCATCCTCGCAGATTGTTTCACTCACACCAGACTTCTTGCTGCCAGTGGCTTAGATGAGTTGGAGAAACTTCCGGTATTTGCCAGATGCAGCTGCTGCTTCCAGCTCATTAGCACGCTCCGACCACCAGGCTTCTCGGTCCTTACGCAAGCTTTGCCCAATTTCCTTACGTAACATCCTTCGTTTATGGTCAAACTCACGGTCACCCGGAGTAGACCGACGGGCTTCAATGAGTTGTAAGGAACCAGAAGAAACCCAGTGCTTAAAAGCGGGACGTTTCGCAAACCCACAACTGACTGTTCCCGCCATTTTCATGGCGTCATGCAATTGCAACCAATGCTCATCTATACTTTTCGGTGGAGTGGTAGCTAGCCTAGAGGCTAGCTCGGTTCGATACTTACTTGCAACAGAAGTTGCAACCAGCTTGTTAACATCAATCTTTTGGTGGTGGTCACTTCGTTGTCCACTGAAAAGTAAGGCAAGATTGAAGCAGACCAAGGCATGGTCAGAGTCCAGATAGGTACTCCAAAAGGGGCGGCAGTCTTGTACACAACCACGCCAGCGGTAGCTGATCGCGATGTGATCAATCTGAGTCCAGGCTTGAGATGCAGAGAGAGGACGCCAGTTGGCACATCGGCGATGACTGTGCCGAAAGTTAGTGCTAGCCAGAAACAGATTGTAGTCTGTGCACAGTTGCAGTAGACGGTCCCCGTTATCTGACCTGCGACCAACGAGTCCCCATCGGCCACCTAAACGACTCTCTTCTGTGCTTAGACGCTCGACCTGAGCATTCAAGTCTCTCGCTAGTACTACAATATCTGTCGAACGGACTTTCTGGGTAAGAATAGTTAACTGGTGGTAGAATTCATTCTTGATTACATTTGGGCTGCAATCTGTCGGGGCATAGGCGAAGATGACGAAGAGACATCGTTTCTCACGCCGATTTCTTCTCACTTTGATGGAACTTTCTAATCTAACAGCACATAACCAACCGACTGTTAATGGGGATCCAATCGATTAGTGCTGTCTCAGCTCTAGCGCTTAGTGCGACACCAACGTCAGCAAGACCAGACGAAGATGCCATAGGGTCCCCGAATAAACGCACGTAAAACAAGCTTTCTGAAGCGACAGATGGAGAGCGAGTTTGTAGTGTTTCACCAGAGTCTTGAATACGAGTCTCGGATGGACAACAAACGCCGATATTAAGACTTCCTAAAGACATCGCCAGCTCTATCTATTGTCCGGCATGAATTAGTGTGAGAACGTTGATGGAAGCCAGTTTGAATGGTGCACGTGGTTTCAGTAAAACTGCTTCAGTATTCGTGTTTGGCGGTAGCACACAATTTTCAACCAGGCATTTACTCGAGGACGTTTAGATAAAACCGGGTTTCTACCATAGGCGAGCTGCTTTATAAGTCGAAAAATAAGGGCACATAAAGTGGGAATGGAAGAAAGTAAATAAATGACGTAAAAATAATAATAACAGTAATAGTAATAATGATAATGTGAACCGTTTGATTGTTAATCGAAGCAAGACAAGTATTTTTCATAAATATCGACATTTCATCACATTTGTATGAAGGATGTGATACTGCCTGTGTGCCCAAACCGAAGCAGGTGGTTTCTTTAGGGGGTCACACCCGGAGCCTTCGACCTGAAGGTCTGATCCACAAGGCAGTGGGGCATCGTGAGGAGAAGCAGTCACATGGTAGCCGGTGACCAACTATTGGTTCATACGCCATTTGTTCCCGCAGGATACTGGAGCCCATGTGCACCATTGGTTTGGAATCCGGTTAAAGCGCCGGACATTCGCTTTTCGTCCTCTCATTTTCGTAAACAACACCCCCGCCACGAGAAAGCAATGAGTAGGACTTCCCTGGCAGAGGCTGTATACGCCAGGGAAGTCCTACTCATTGCCTTCTCGTGGCGCGGGTGTTGTTTAAAGGTTCATTCCTTATGATGATGCTTCTTGAGGCCCAGCTTCTGCTGACACGTTGAGTTTAGTGCTTATTTGATCCCTTCCCAGTTGTCCTCCATCGTAGTATCTTCTTTCAGTATGTCTTATCTTGAATTGGTTGATTTTGTTAGTATCTCGAAGGAAGGCTGTATTGAACCTTTGTACTGCTGTTTTCCCAGTTATGCAGTGTTTCTTTAGCCTCAGTTTCATCTTGGTCACAACCAGGTGATGATCTGGTACTCTCGTCTTTTTGAGTGATACAAATATGATTTATCTGGCCAATATCATGTATTTCGTCTTTTTTGGCGTTTTTTAACCTTCATAAAAAAACGCTAAGAAGGACTTGACATACATGATATTAGCCGCTACTCAGTGATTAGTTAATTGTGAACCCATATTCTTTTGCACCAGGTGTTCGGTTGCCTATAACTAAATGAACGTTTTCAAAAAGATTCCGTTATTTTGACTTTTTTGGTCATGTTCTGTTTTGAAGTGTAGAGATTTCAGCTTATGCAGCCTCAAATTGTTTCATTCAGATGGCTAACCTATTTGTAACGTAAAAGCCTTACACTAAGTCACAAATATTATTGTTTTAAAATTGAATTACTGTGATATTATTTATTGCGAATATTTACGGTTTGTTTTAGAATGAACAACTGTTCAACGAGGCTGCAGAAGAATATACACGGACAGTTGAGCGTTTAGAAAACAAGTACATGTAAGTTGTGTAAATGAACTACAATGTGTAACACTTATTCATCAAAATAATTCTGTCGAAATCGGTGATTTATTACATTTATATGGATTGAGACTTTGCTAGAAGTTTTGAATTTTTCCACTGATATTTCAAAACTGTCGAAACTTCCTTATCTAAAAAATGGTTTTCCTTGTTATCATTATGAGATAACCGGAAGGGTTGAGTTCGGTTGTATCTGATTGCACAGATTTATTTTTGGGATAAAGACGTGTCGGTAAAGTTATGCTTCTAGATATTGACAGTTCTTCATTGAAATCGTACAAGTATTTATCGTATGTCTGTGGGATAATTTTAATTTTTCACCAACTGCTGTGTCAGGCAAGGCTGCTTACTCTCCACCTTTCTCATTCTTCTGGCGGTTGACTGGATTATGAAGACCTCCACATCTCAGGAGAAGCACGGAATATAGACAGCTTGGATTTCGCAGATGACCTGGTTCTTCTATCTCATACCCAGCAACAAATCAAGTGAAGACAACTAGTGTGGCATCAGCAAGAGCCTACTGAGAAGGAGAAAAAAACAAATACCAGTTGAAGAGGAAATTAGTAAAAGATGTTGGAAGTGGATAGGACATACACTGCGAAAATCATCAAACTTCATCACGAGGCAAGTGCTAACTTAGAATCCTGATGGGAAAATGTAAAGAGGAAGGCCGAAGAATTTGAGGCAGACATCAAAAGAACAAATAGTAACTGGAAAAGATTGTCCAGGACAGAGTTCGATGGAGAATGCTAGTGGGAAGCCTATGTCCTTCCACAAGGGATAACAGGCTTAAGTTAGTACTACACAAAACTCACTTATTCAACATCATGTCGTTATGACATGCAGTATTTTTGTATCATCATTTTTTTGAGGTCGTTCGTGAACACTGCTTGCTGCATGGTGTTATAAACGTTAGTTTAAATCTACTCCACATCCAGAAACTGCACTAGTATGATACAATGTATATGTTTACTTACGTCCCATAACTCTATTTATAAAGAGGTGTGGAATTATCCACTTACCTAACAACTTCAAACCTAAGTATTAAAGTGCTAATATTCGTTTCTAATTCCTGAAATTCGATTAGCCGTGTTGTGTCATCGTTTTATTTCATACAGTGATCTTTATCGTTCTAAATAAATATTTACATAGTTCACGAGTTGCATATTTACATTTATTGTCTACTTCGGTGGTTTACATATGTACACTTTGATTGACATCCAAAGTAAAGTGGCAATATATTCTTATTTAAACTATTCAGATAAAATGAATTATTTTCATAATGGTAAAACAACATATAGCTTTCAATGCTTGGTTTTAGAATAATTTTTGTTCTTTATTGTAGGAGACCTACTCCTGGGGGGTGTTGTGCTGCAGCTGAACAAAGAGTCGAAGATTGTTATAAGCAGAATCCTGGAAGAATACTTTTGTGTTCCAAACTTGTTTCAGAGTATGATCGTTGTGTGCAAAATTTCCTTGTCGTAAGTGATACTTACCTGAACAACCTTGTTAGTTCCAAGTTTTGTTGTTTTTTAAGCATTGATATAATCTAATTTACAAGGGTTAGATATAAATCTATGTTACGCCATTTATGTTTCTTGAAGTTTAACGAACTTGCGATATGTATGTGTGGCGGCCGTAGCCACTAATAACTTGAACACTGATCTTTAGTCATTCTGATAACGAATGTCAAACAAGATGAATTATGGATCTCAAGATATTTTGTTGGCTGCCGCCAAATAAGTCCGGAAGGTAACTTAGAATTTCATCATCAATGTTCCCCAGAACCTCAAATTACAGCGTTTAATGGATTCAGGAAAAATCTACATATCGGTTACGAGATCACATGTTAATTTAAATAGCATAATAGGAAAGTGTAAAAATGTTATGTATTAGAATCACTACAATCTGCAATAATGCAGAACGAAGAAACAAGTAGAAACGTAAAAAAGGAGGTAAAGGATGAATAAGCAAAAGTAACAAGATATGAAATTCAGAGGAAAATAATGTCCATACATATCGTCTCGATAAATAGTTAGTCGTATTCCCCAGATATTCTAAATACTGACTTCTTTCGTTGTGATAACCCTACCTAGTGTTTTCACTTTTCTTTACGATTGGTATCACAATTTCCTCTGTCAACTAGTATAAGCTTTCAGCTGAGTTGTACCACAGTTGGTTCAGGTTTTCCACTTTATAAACTTTTTGTCTGGCAGCCTCATCCACTAGCTACGAGTAGTGGTTTCAAGACACCTATCTTCAAGCTTTCTTTTTCATAATCGCCAGCTTCAACGCCTACGTTTTGTAGTTGTGAAATAAGATGAAGTGGTTTGGGCACATACTTTTACGACAAGAAACACTGCCGTAACCTACTAATTTGATATGCAGTAAGTAGCAAGTGATAGTTTTTATTCTCAATACAAACACAAAAACTGAAATACAGGTAAGCAAAATACATTTTAGAGTGATGAATAGGACGAGAGATTTAGGTTTTAATATAATAATATAATAGAGTTAACTCATACACCACGTTCTTGGGCATGAGCCACACTAAGTATGAGGGCTGATGATACTACCCGGTTGTCTAAACCGAAATCGATGGAGGGGGATTCGAACTTGAAACTTATTGGCTATATGTCGAATATTTTAACCATCAAGCCCTTCCCCACCAATAGATAAGTAACGTCATGATACGAATTACCTACCTTTTTGTCACTCATTTTTAGGTGTAAATTGTAATAACACAAAGTGTAATTATCTTTCTCTACTTTTTTTAGACTATGTCTAGGAAAGTGTCAAATGCTGCCTGAAACTAATACAATACCACTTTATATTTTATGGATTCCTATTCTAAAAAAATTCTATAATTGTCTTACACATTGTAGCATGCCATTTTCAATTAAATGATTAGTAGTTGTAATGATTATCCTTGTACAAATCAAATCATACTTTATATGTAGTGTTATTTGACATTTGTTTCAATTTAATGTTGAATATTTAAACACAAGCCAAAACGACCTCAATTTTCAGCTAAACAAGAGAACGAAACACTGTGGTTTATACTTATGTTAACAGTGATCATATTAGATTAAGATGTAGTTCTATTCAGTTGTGATCATTTATTAAATATAACATCTTGAATACATATGTTAGTGATTGACAGTCCATACAAAACTGATAAGGTATAGCACCTAATTTATGAATCTGTTTTTTAATTTGACCAATCCTTCCACTCGCTAGGTCGTTCTCAAAGTGGTTTGATCGTTACTTGAGTGAATATTTTGTACAAATCTTTACCAGTTTGTACATAATAACATTCCAATATTTTATTGACCTAATAGTTTTGAAATGAAAAGATATACATATTTATCAGTCTTTGTCATAACATTGGTTGAGGATTTCGTTTATATTTATAAGTTATGCGAATAACACTGATACAAAAATTATGCTATCAGTTTGTCGTAATTCACTTTTTGTCTGTCGAACAATAAATGGTTTGTAGATATTAATAAACGTTCCTCATAACATGGTCTTTCACTCTGACTTTAAAGATTTATAAATTAACACTACTCAGTGAGCAGATAAAACTGTATGTAAATTCTTATGCTTCTATATCAGAGTTTCGTACTAATGAATGGTTTCTTAGCCTTTATATCAGTCAGATTATGGGAAACCAGAAAGGGAATTAAGTGATAATCATAATAGTGGTGAAAATATGATTAAGCAAAAGATACGGAAATCGAGTGAAATAGACTTTCGAATACACCAAGCATTCAAATGTTCATGATCATATCAGAACCAATAGTAACTTGATTATTGAGTCGTATATATCGAATTGAACAAATAATTTAGTACTTGAAAATAGTTTGTGTGTGATATTTTATTATCTGTTAATAATCAGTTTACTTATAAAATTGTTTCCTACCTTTAAAAAAAGGTTAGAGCTAATAAATCCAAGAGAAAGGTGATAGTAAAAACCAAAGCAAGTAAACGACTGTGAGGTGAAATATTTGTCAGTAATAATCTTTCTAGCTAAATCAATTAAACACTTCAATAATCAATTTCTACTCGCTCAGACACAAATTAAGTCTTCGCATTTCGGAAAGAAACATTAAGTAGATTCATGTTTGAATGATGTACTATTTATATTTCCTCAAACCAAACATGATTTAAATTATATGTTCAGTGATGAACGAAAATTGTCTTCAGATTGGTTCTATTTTCATTTAGACTCGACTTACAGAAAAGGCTATACATATATATGGGTTGTGGTGGCAAAAAATTAAGCCTGATAGTTGGGTCTTATAAGCACATAAGCTGGTGATTAACCTGTAAAATCAGTATCCTATCTTTGATTATACTTCAGAAGACATTTATTCATGTTTACTTTTGTAGTGATATCTTGCATAGTGGTATATTGTCTTACTATTTGTGCAGTCTTTTGAAAGAGATAATAATTTGGTCTCTTCAACAGTTAACAACTGACTGCGCTGAAACACTGTACAGTCTACTGGTATATGTGCCATGCATTGCGGACTGACTACACAACTATTGTAGTGCTAGACATATGTTTCGTCCCAGTAGGAAGCGTTCTAGCATGACGTAACCATGGTTTCGTCAAAGACCAAATCCATAGTCTTTGGGCTTTGCGACAAACTTTACTTTCAAATCACTAAGCTGACATCCGAATACTTCAATTTCCAAACATTAGCCAACAGGATATTGAGCGACAGCCAACTAGTATGATCGGTGATATTTGTTTTATCCTCAAACATAGTTGAATTCCACTTATCATAAGTTTTCCCTAGAACTTCAGAAATCCTTCTGGAAGTTAATTACCGGTTAGCAAAATTATTGTTGAAATGCGAGGTTGTGAAGACTGTCCAAGTTGAAGATAGATAACATTGTACGTTGATTTTTACAAGTTTTTTTTCAACTAAAAGTATACTCACCACCTAGAATATTAGTGAAAAGTTCTAACACAAACCAAATTATTCCGTAACTACCCATCGTTAAAGAAATAAAAAAGAAAATAGAACACATTGATAAAGAAAATATTCTCCACACTCAAAATTTATTGGCTGTATTGTATTTGCGTTACATTCCATTAATTAAAGAGGAAATAAAGCAACAAGAAACAGCCATGTACAGTTAATCCATCTAAATATAGGGATATTAACGTAAATTTCAATCGTTATATGTTCATTCCAAATAAAAATAGAATAAGCCAAGTCATTTGTCTAAATGAGAAAAAGAAATTGAAAAACTACTAAGAAAAACTCCGAGTGATTTTCTATGTAAATGAATTGTAATAGACTCTTTGTCGAAAAAAAGAAAGAGGAAGTATTTGAATTCTATTTCTCACTGTGATGTTTTGTTTCTGTGTAATGTTCACAAAGATCAAATCAGAATGGTGCATATTTTAATAAATAGTCAATAATTTGTCGTGATTTATGCTCATTGCTATCAGTAATATATATATATATATATATATATATATATATATATATCTGCAGAGGTATATATATATGTTAATATGCTTATGTACAAAAGAATAAGGGAGTAGATAAGTGTTAAATTAATCAACAATTGACAGTGACATCATTATTATCATTAAGGTTTTGTAAAAATATCACAGCGGTACTAATTATATGAGTAGTGTACAACAACAGATAACATATTAAAATAATATAGATAAAGATAAATATATTACTTAACATTTGTGATAGTTTCCATCTTCAGTTGTCTTTTTGTATATTTTCTCATCAGCAAGCCTAAATTTGTGTGGGAGTAAAACGTTTTTGACGATAATCAAAACTAATACTAACAAATAATATTCAGAGATCTTATTGTGTATTCCTTTTGTCTTTGTTGTTCTTCTATGTGAAATACTAATCAACGTAGTTCTACTGGATGTGATTCCATGAAAGCTATTGGTGCAAAATTAGTCGTTGGTACATTCATTGATTTTGTTCTATATAAATTATTACGTGGAAGCTGATAATCAGACATAGTATGAGCACGATGTAATGTTAAATTTGGCACAGTAGTTGATTTACTTCTTCTTTGTGGGGAAGTCTGATTTGATATTCACAATAATAAACGGATAAATAACATAAAAATAATCCTCTAAGTCAGTGTTTTCATTTGGATGTAAAATAATCTTGATTTTCGTTACAAAATGATACTAACTGAAGGTAAATTGGAAACTGGAAAACACACTACGTTTAATCTTTGTTTGGGACCCATAACCGTCGTATATCCATACTCCGAGGAAACGGTCTCCACAAACCTAACTTCATGAAGTATACGGTAACAAGATTATCCATATAGAAATTCGCTACACATTATAGTGATAAACGTGACCATAAACAGAACGGCTCATTGGTCACTTTGTATAATCATTATTTTTATACTTAGTTTATCAGTTGTTATCTGACAATATTCAATCTTACGACATGTTGACATTTAATCAGTCCAGAGACAATGAGTTGTTATAACAGTATAAGTATATCTTACATCAGTCACCTTATCAGAATTAATATTAGCAAGTCTAGATCATTAGTAGTTTTAACAGAAAGCAAAGTTTGTTCAAAATATTGAGTCGATTATTAGATCTGCACATACGGATTAATAACAAATGCTATCAGTTTCATTTTGTCAGATAAATCACTAGTTTATTTTAACTTATATGATTTGCTTGGTATCTGGTAAATACTATAAGAAAAAATTAATGTGTGAAGTTTACTCCTCGATTATGAATAATATAACTGGAAAATTTTATTAAGTAACTGTGTTGACACTACGAATAGCTAATCAACACTAAATATAGTGTCAAGTAAATTAGTTTAAATACCATTTTTCAAACGTTACTGCCTGGATTTTCTTTTATCAAATATTGATAAGTGATTGTTAGCTAGCGCATCCAGGTCGGTTACTCTACGTAGTGTAGTCTGACAACAAATTAATTACACCTTACCTATCTCCATAGCTTGCGGTGCTCAATCATAAAAAATTGAGTCCAATGAATATAACTCAGAATGATGACGAAATAGAAATTTTTCAGTATTAAGTGATTGGAGGTAGCTCACAGTAAACTCTGAACATAATTTTCGTGTATTCGACAGCATTATGCACCCACAATCTTGCGGGAACTGATGCTTCAAGTGAAAGTCGGACACAAGTCTTCGAGCTTCACATTCTCAGAGGCTACCACTGAACTATTGTGATGATAACTGACTGAATATCCGTTTACAGACATAAGACTTAGCACAATGATATATCATTTTACATCAATAAAGTATTATGAATCAATAATAAAAAAATCTAGCTTTTTTACTAACAGTAAATTCTCCGTGTATTTAATCATAACGCCTAAATAACATTGCACTGTCTAAATCAATAACTGTCAGGCTTTAATGTTTTAGTGAAATATGCAACTTTATTTAGGTAAGAGTCATTTCATAAGAAAAGATTCAAACTTCGTAATTATGTCTAGCAATTACGATGATTAATCAAGTACAGTCACTAAAATGTTAGTCAACAGTCCATGTAAATTTCGAATCTGCCAAATATTTAAAATATTCAAGCTTTTATATAAAAATCATATTAAAAATTATCGGTAGACTAATATATTGATAGTATGAAAATAACAAAACTCAATTAAACATGCATATAAATAACTAGCTGTCTTCCTTTTTTAACTTACTGTCCCATATTTTAATCGAACACGTAGTCTATGTTCACCACTATTGCCATTATTACTGTCAGTATTTTGAACATCTAAAGACAACTCTTTCGCCGATAATAATTCTGAAATTGAATTTTTTATTGGTACATTTAAAGGATTCGTTTTTGTTTCTGCGATAGAATAATACGATCCAGATCGAGTGTGAATATCTGAAACTGATTGTGATAGTGTGGAACAATTTGATTTTTGATACTCAAGTGATAGACCATCTATAATTCGTGATATCGACTCATGAGATGTTTGTTTTTTGTGGGTGTCTGTTTGTCCAGATTGTATACTCTTATTGTTTTGTGTGAGTTTTAATGGAAGAGTCATTTTGATTGGATTTATTTGTAGGCTTTTATCATTTAAACTTTGAAATCGTTTAGCTCTGCGTTCACCTGTTTTAAATATGAAAAGGAAGAAATATGATGTGTAATTTCTAGTTTTAAATGAATGGTTCCATAAACATTGGACGCCCAGTATACATATAAGATATCAGATATAAATCCAATGCGCAAAACCATTAGTGATGGTAGGAGTGAAGGTAGTAGTCATATAGTAAAGCAGTGATTTAGTGGTTGGGTCGTCCAGCTGTTAATCATTCGGTTACCGCATAAAATCTTATTCCATCTAATTTAGTTTAAGCAGTTGGGTAGTATCACTATCCTACCAAGAAAATGAATATTCACTTGGTAAATGAGTTACATTGGTGACTGGATTTAAATGCTGCCGAATTAGCATCCGGTAAACTAACTCCACGTTCTTTGAGGTAATAACAGAAATTATCAAAGATAAATAGAGTCAAAACAATCCTAAACGAAATCATTGTTCAATCAAGTTCAGACATTGATTCTATTCAGAGTGGAATGCATTTGAATTGAGGCATGTGATATATATATATATATATATATATATATATATCAGTTGCAAATTTTGAGATAACTTCATGCGTTTCATTCTAATCTAAATTCTTAAACATTCAATAATCATGTAAAATTGTAGTTGTGACTGTCAGATCTAATAGTGAATATTTGGTCTCATTTACATGTGATTTTGATTCATGGTTGACTGCTTACTTTATTGAATGTCTCTGAAGAGTTTACTCACTTTTACTACTCACTTTACTCAATCGACTTGATCAATCAAGACTTTTCAAAAGTCATCCTTGGGTTAATTACTAATGAGTGAGCCATTATTATTAATTCAAGTGAAGATCAAAAGGTCCTACTTCGTCTCCGCTGTGGAGTTCAGTAGGTGTTATTAGAAGGGCAACAAGCCATTGATTTCCAGTGGTTCTGCATCTACTGATGTTCATAAGCTCTAAACTACATGAAGCGGTCACAAAAGTACGTAAATCAGCCAAAATATAAGGAAAAATACAAACAAAGCATTATATATATAATGGTAATTTAACACACACATAGAGATAGTTGTTTACTGTCTGTTGTTGTAGATTTTGTCATCAATAAGTTAGGATTGGATTCAGATGAAACAGATTTTAAAGAATTGGAGTTCAATAATAATGGTGGTTGAACCTTCAGTGACAATTTCTTAGGTGGTAATGGTGGCGGAACGTTAGCACCAGAAGAACGTGGTACAATTATTCCATTACTATTACCAGTGAGTTGATGACGACTACGCTGACTAGATGAATTGGTAGTTATAGGTATTTTCAATGGTCGGCATAAAGATGTTCCATTTCTTGGTTTATCCAAGTTCATGTTACCATTACGCAAATAACCATTCACTGATTTATTTAAACATTTGTCTAAATGTTGAAGAGATGTAGTTGAACGTTTGACCTAAAAAGAAAGAAAGTATTATGTTAGAAGAAAAACAACAATACATTTATTATTTAGACGATAATCATCATTATCATGACAACTATTTAAAGATGGTTTAAAAAATGAGAATAAACATTTATCAAACAGGTATTCAATATATAATTCATATTAGTTTTAGAGAGCATTTATTAATGAATAATAAGATGGTTGATTGTGTAGAGATGTTGAAATGACAAATAATTTTCAACATTAATTAACATTAGTTAAAAGACTAGAAATTACTGACTGACAGAGATGTGTCGTTCAAGTTGGTGACTAGTTAACAATATACCCCAATGATAATGTGCTCACAATCGACTAGTTTCAAATTGGATTTCATAAAATGTTTAATTGAAAATTTTCATGTTGTGAAGTTAATGAAATAAAACTTGAGACGATAAATTGCTGAAGGTATTGAAAGAGAATGTACATATGTTGATACAGTCAGCTGATGTAAGCAAACAATGCATGTTTAACTAACCAATAATTATGCAATATATTGAGTTATTTATTCATAGAAATCAGCAAAACATACTTTCGAGCAGGGAATTATTATTTTTAGTTAAAATATGAGTCAAAGTTTTCATTGAATGAAATCACATAAAAAGACACAAGGGATAAGAATATTTAGATGAAATCCTTCTCTCTGCAGAACTCGTAGTTAGTGAAGTTTATAATGATAAGTCAGTCATTATTTCTTACTAACACTTTATAATTAAAGATAATGTATATCAATTAAACAATAAAATATGATTCGTGAGAAAGTAAATACACATGCGATCGATAAGAAGAGATAAATACGGTCAATCAGTATACGAATTTTATTGAGATAAATCACAATGAAGTGAAATAAAAACGATATAAATGAACATTTCCAGTTAATCAGTATATAACCGTTTATGTAGAGTTGAATGCACTAGATAAATTCATATATCTGTATTATTTATTTACTGTAGTGTTACAAAATAAGCAAACATAACTATTTTATTGTACGTAAATCGAAGAAAGTGAAAGAAATAATAAAGAAAACAATAGACGTCTACTAGACTAATGACAGCTTTTGATTTATGTAAAGAAATGTTTGAAGCAACAGTTAAATTATAATAATTACGTAACTTGTAATAAATTTAAACATAAAAAATCTTATCTCACATATAAGTATCAATGCCAAGGTTGGACTTGATAGTTTCAAATAAGTTAAGTATTGGGTAGAAAATAAATAATAAATATATTTTTGTGATATCCCAATAAGTACATAGTTGTATTTCTGAAATCCTGTGACTTAATGTTAGTTACTTTTTTCAAAATGAATGAATAACCAGAATCTGTGTTAGTTTTATTTCGGTTATTTACTTTGAAGAAGTGGCTAATATGAAGTCACAAAACATCTGAAATACAATTTTCTACTCATTGGGATACTACAAAAATATATTTATTAAAATCTCACATGAAATTTATTGTCAATTGTTCAAGCAAAAATTTCATAAGTTTTGTTACTTGAGAAAAGTCACTTACAAACTCTAAGTACATATCAATTAATTATCTAAACAACGTACATTCCTTTCGCTATACTTGCACTTCTAACAATTAGTTTTGACATTTTGTATAGAATAAACTTTGTGAATTATTTTTGAACTACTAATAAGTAAGCGTATATATTTTATCTAATGTTTTTCCACTACCCAATAAACCTCAACATCCAATGTTTATAACATTATGATAAAAAATAAAAGAAAAGAGAACGCTACGTAGTAAAGAGAATTACACACTGAAAACGCTAAATTTTTCAGACCAAAAGTATTGTGATGCATAAATAGTTAGTGTACAACAAGTGCATATATATTTAACACCGAGTAAACAGAAAATTCTAAATGACATTTGTAGGTATATCATCAATGACATTTCTATGACAGACAAATGACATGTAATCTATCGTAATGAAATAATATTCCAATTGAAACAGATTTAATTTAACTCAAATTAATATGCGTTTTCGAAAAGTGGAAAAACGTGGTAGACGAGTTGTTTAACTACTGAACAACTACATCTGTGATTGTGTGTTTGTGTATATAGGTGTGGTGTAAATCTCAACTGAACATATATATATATATATATATATATATATATATATATATATATATATATAATTAGCCTATATTTAGAGTGTATCTATCTGTTAGTTTTCTTTGAGAAAATGTGTCTCAATCTTCTGAACAAAATAAGACTATGAACAGCTTTGTAAGCAGCGTTAGTTACAAAATATTTGAATTGCAAATAATGATGAATTTCAGCAGTTTAAAAATCCACATAGAATATTCAAAAACGAAGAATATTTGAGCGAACAATTGTTTTCAATAACTTCATCATCAGGCTCTACAGTTATAAGTCCATAATTATAATATTTTACAAAGGCCAAAAATAAGGCATGTATTAGTGCATTTGACAATGTTGTGTGTTTAAAATGGCCTACGACTGGATCACCGAATACCTAGACTGAATATTATAAACCTCTAACCCTTCCTTTATTTTTATTTATTTTCCTTACTATCATTATTTGTCATTATCTATATCTTAATCTTCATATCCATCATTCCCAATTTGTTGACCGTAATTACCTTGATAACACCCCCCTTATTACATATTATATTCACACAACAATATTATTATTATTATCTCAGTTGACAAATTATTTTTTTTTGCATTTTCAATTTTGCTATAGTACTATTATCTTATTGTGACTGAACAATTTACTGACCTTTATTGAATGACCTTTCTAATTTGCAAATATGACAATTTTTTTTGAATGATGAATTTTTCAGACAATTACTTGTCTTATTTTCCGTACTTGTAGTAAGAAGTCATTTAAATTTCTATTTATGCTATGGAATGTCTTCAGATATCTATTTACAATCAACTATAATAACAGTAATTACGTGATAAAGTGTGAGCTGGCGGCTGGATGCTTATGATTTAATATCGTGTTTCGTGATAAGTATGGACCAAAGTTCGAGACAGTATGTTGGAAAGGGTAGATATATGAAAGGCGATAGATATGTGAAAACCTTAAGAAAGATTCATGTAGTTATTTATTTATGGAATAGGAATATTGAACAAGAGGAAATCATAAAACGCATGAAGTAGAGGTTATTAGCATTAGAATATAGATGTCCATGCATAAAAACGATTTACTAATAGTGAGCAGACAGCAGATAAAGGAAAAAGAATTTCATTAAAAAAACTTATTTCATATAATCGATTAGTGATAATTTTTCATTTTCGATTGAGGAACACACGCAAAATAAAATGGCTTCATATTATTCTGTTGTAATTGTTACTCATAGTTTATTAAAAAATATAAAAATGTTCAAACTATGGATTCAGTAAAAATATAAAAGGGAATAAAAACTATTGTGAAGTGAATATAACTAGGTAGATATTCACAAAATGCTTTATTCAATAAACTTCTATACAGCATTAGACTTCGTTGGATTGTCATTTATACGGGTTATTCGAAGTTTATAGATTAGGAAGTTTAATATACGACTACAGTTGATCAAAACACTCACTGCTAATTTGCTAGAATATAGGCTTTTACCAACTCTGGTTCTCAGTAATGCTTTAAAATCACTTGTACATTTAAAGTGATATAGCTAGAAAACAATTCGATCCTTAAACACTTTTTCTCTTCTTCAGTCGTAATTGTTGTCAACATATTTTTTGATGGTGCAGATTTTCATTCAGTCAGTCAGTCAGTAACAACGTAGAACTTCGTACGTACGTACATCAGTTCGAGTTGCCACACCACATTAGCACAGAGATGCAGTTGTCGATTCTAATCCTGTAGTGGTAGAGGTAATAAGAGTATAAGCAGTAATCGGGAAGATTAGGGTCTGGAGATGTTATTTAAAGAGTATAATACAGTGAAATAAATTTGGAAAGAGGAAAAAAGGGACATGAAGAATTCAGAAGATTAGAATTTGGGAGAACACAGAGAGTGGATGCACCTGCGCCATTGCAAACGATTTTGAGCCATGTCATTTCATTCAACTTGCTGTGCACTTTCTATGTACAGTAAAGCAAAGCAAATTTTGTCTTAGTTGATCTGTATGAAAATGGAAGGGAGAAAAAAAGTGACAAACAAAAATAAATTACTAACCCAATCCAAAGATGGAAGATGCGGACGTGGAGGTAACGGTGGAGGAGAAGATGCAGTTAAGCTATCAGTGGACGGGCATGTTTTGCGTCTGGCGTGAGTTAGTGAACATGTTTCACCGTATACTGATGAGATAACACCAGCATCCTTTTCGCTTTTGATACGATTTAATTTTGCGAATGATTTTGTGAAATCATTTTTTGGCAGTGATACTGATTGTCTTGTTTCATTAACAAGAGTTTTTGATTTCATTTGATGTATACTTTTCAACTGAATATGATTATTATTATGAAGAAAACGAGGTGGAGGAGGTCGTGGTGGCGGTTCACGTTTTAATGGTTTATGGGATTCCATATCAGATAGATTAAAATGATTTGATGGACTACTGGATGATTTGAATGAAGAATCTGAAGAACTATAATAAAAATTTGAGAGAGAAATTTGTAACAGTATCTGGGAAAACCAATGGACTGCTATTCGAAAGTTGTATATTCTGTTTCTTATCATGTTGGTAAATGGGAAACATCAATGAAACACTTTTATCGACCTCAATTGGTTAATTGTACCATAGTACGTATTTAACAAATAAATAAATAACGCAAAATACATAGGTGAATTAATTGAATACTTCGAAACAGTTTAAAAACTGCCAACCATGGAAAAAAGTCGTTATTCCAAAAAACAACCACATAAGAAAATATACAACTCTGAGAAAGGCACAAGGTCTTCGAGTAGTGTAACGGCTCTCTGCGGTCCGACGTTCAGTGATGTTGCAAAATGCTTTGAGATTTTGAAGCTACACATCGACCAATTAGGACAGAACCTAAATAAATCAAGTGAATTTCATCACAAAAACAATGAAATCTGTTAGATTGTGGTAGTTTTGCGGAGTTCATTAGTTTACCATACCTTAGTATAGATTTGCTAACTTGAATACTATGAAAATATCGCTACCGAATATCATTTACCAGTATGAATAGGTTTCTTTCTGGGTCCTTTTTCCATGGAAGTAAATATCTAGGTAGAAAATCCTTAGTTGCTTACATATTCTTCATCAACAATAGCTGAGTGCTAACGTCTCTGACGTAAAATCGAGTCGACCAGAGAGCGTGAGTTCTCTTAAGCTTACATGTACACCTTGCTGGCGAATGCCAAGCAGCAGGAAACTTAGGTCCAGGGTTTTCTGACGATTACTTTCAACCACCACCTTACATCTCGACATAATGCACACGATTTTAAAACACTCAAACTAGTGCCCACATTGAAACTTGATCAATATAGGTCAATCAGCACTAGGAAGGACTTTATATACGTAACAGTAGCCACTACTTATTGATCGATCAATTTTAAGTAAACTATCTTGCTTATCTGGCCTATGCTCCTCCACGAAGGATAACAGGAGTAAGTAAGTATCTTGCTTATCATTGTCAACATCTAGAGGGAAATCATGGTAATGAATCAGCTATTAAAACTCAATTGTATGAACGAAGAATATTCTTGTCAATAATTTCTCATCAGCTTTTACAATTATAAATCCAAATTAATGATTCATAAAATTGGCCAGATTTAAGGCAGAGTACATCATTTAAAATTGTAATATGTGAATCAAGAATCCCTATCTAGTATATCTGATCTAATTCATATTATTCTACAGATTACGTAATTTCTGATTTTTATTCCATTATTCTCTCTCTTTCTCTCACCCCATGTTGACCATATTTATTCTGATCATTTATCGCACAATTTCATTTCGCTTACAAACTGATTCAAGTTAACACTTTATATTAAAGAGCCCCAACATAACCATTTGATTTGATTTGATATGATAAACAACAATTCTCAATTCACATATTACAATTTCCAAAGGATATACTCTGCCTTAAATCTGGCCAATTTTATGGATTATTAATTTGGATTTATAATTGTAGAAACTGATGAGAAATTATTGACAAGAATATTCTTCGTTCATACAATTGTGTTTTAATATAATGGGAATTTTTCAGCGAATCAGCTATTATTTAGGTTATAAGCACACGGAAACAGTCATAAAATATATAATGGCTGGAAGTAGACCGTTTTCAAAAACGAAGAATATTTGAGCGAACAATTGTTTTCAATAACTTCATCATCAGGCTCTACAGTTATAAGTCCATAATTATAATATTTTACAAAGGCCAAAAATAAGGCATGTTTTAATGAGTTTGACAATGTTATGTGTTAAAAATGGTGAGCGTTTGCATCTGTTACGATATATATATAGACCGTTTTGTTGGAATTTCCTGTTCAAAGATGAAAAAAGGCAGAAGGACTGAATTACAACCACAACTTGAATGAAATATGTATTTCTTATTGATTTTATACCTTTGAACAGTTGTAATACGCTTCTATAAAGAAAGCATTTTTTAACGGTGTTTTCAACACTAATGAGCTTATCGTAGCCAATGGAAAGCTTCCTGAAATACGAAAAACATTTATCAGCTTGACAAATAAACAAAATAAAGTTATGCGTTTTACGAGGAAAGACTGACTATTTTTTACGTGTGACCACATTAGATATACATATGTTTTATAGATAAGTTTGATCACAGCATCGAGATAAAAATAACTGGCTAGCAAAGTCATTTGTAGCACAGGTAACTAAAAAATTGAGTTTGTCACTTATCAACTTCAACGACGAATAGAAAATCCCATGTTTAGATATGATGTACTTTCTGGGATCGATTAAGACGTAGAACTACAGTGGGAATAAAAATAGAAAATCATCTCAACTTAGAAATCTCTGAATAATTCATCAAAAGTAGCAGTTACGTAAGTTATATATTAACAATTAATAAACATAGGGGTAAACTAATCACCAGGATGAATACTACTGCTTCCATGAATAGACAAAAGAAAGAACCATCACCTTAATAAGATTTGGCAATATATATACTATGACTTACCGACTGTCACCAGTTTGTATTTCCAACTGATTATTTTGATAATCTCTAAAAAATTGATTCCTACTAAGAAGAGTCCCAGATGCAAAACTGGGCGTAGAATTAGCAAAACAAGAATTCGGACGATTTCGATAAGACGAATGATCTATATCCTGCATACGTGCCATTATCGGTGTATGCTTTGGATTTATATCCATTGAACCAAACTTATTATTTTTATACGAAACCAGTGATTGTTCAGCCTTTTTTATTTAAGCGAAATGAAGGAAGCAAAAGAGGCTTAAGGTAATTATAAAGATTTGACAACATGTAAGTGTTAACCGAGAATGGAGCGAAAAAACAGATAATTCAGTTATATACCACAAAGCCTGTATAATCAATCACTACTATATCGTTACTACATGTTTGTGATATCTTGTAGAGGTAGACTTCCTAAAACAAATCTATGATTCTATATCAGATCAAATATTTGAAAAGGATTTCCATTCTAATAAAAATTCATCAACTATTTATATCATCCCCTCTAGAAGATAAAAAATATATAGAAAAATGTAGGGAAGCTTGTGTGCTATTCAAACCAACAAAAATATGATTCATCAAACCGATTTTGAGGGGTTTGTAGGTGAGCATCTTTAAGGAGTCACACACTAGGACGAAACGGTTGTCCATTACTCCCAAGTTTTTAACTGCAATCCAACTGAAATCAATTTGTCAAGAATGAAACCTGAAAATTTAAATATTTCTCAGAGTCTAGAAGTAAAACATTCAATAGTTCTGGGTACTAACCTCCGTTTATATTACGCAAAAAGTATATATACTATAAGTACATGTATTTCTAACATTCTATTAATAATAGCTTTCGGTTACACGTTTTTCGTGGGAAAACTAGTGATAATACCCGTTTACCCCAACCTACATGGCGTGAAGTTTGAACTTATAGCCAATTTATTGAAAGCAGAGATCTTTCGACTACTAAGCTACCCCTTGATCTCATCAAGACATGACCTGGGAAGTCGTAACGGATAACCATTCGCATGATACTGAGACAGTTTTGTGTGGTACGTAGTGAATTGACTAAATTTAGAAGATCTATCACATTGTAGTACGTTATTAATCAACAAGATAACAATACAGTTATCCTTTACATAATTTTAAATAGCAGTTAGTTAACAAAAGATTTTCAGCTGTAATTCTTAAATGATACCAATTATTTATATATTTTTGACACACATTATTCGAATTATGCAGAATATTCATCTTATTGATGCCGAGAAATAACTATCTTCCATTAATACCCTTCAGGGTTAGATTTCGTTTGTGATAGGAGTTAGAGTATTGTTTAACATATATTAACAATATTGAAAGTAGAGTATATGAAATATTAAAACTTTCTTTTATATCAAATGTTGTTATTATTTTATCTAGAGTCAAGTAGATATTCAACTTTTAAGCGCAACTTGTCATTAGATAGATAGAGCTATCAAACTGTAGTTTAAGTTGAAGTAGTATAGAATGATTGGTTGAAATTTAACTGTTTAAAAACTAGTTAAACGATCAAGTCATTTTTTCAACACTATCAAAATGACAGAAACATTTTACACTTTAAAAATGACAACGTAGTAACTGAAGTGATTAAAAATATCAGAAAAAATCATGCCTTTCGTGATAAAATATTCCAGGTAAAAGAACTTTCAGATTTAACACGTTTCTTTGACTCTGGTAATCCTTTTTGACAAATACGACCAGGATTTTTCAACTTTTTAGCTCGTAACCATTCTGGACTGCCAAAATTATATTTTTTACGCCCAAGCTTTAAATCATATTTAGTAGAACTTGATGCAATATTTGATAATGAACTTGTAAATATTGGACCAAATGATACGGTGGCTTTATAGTGATATGTGTTTTTAGCTTGACCTCGTAATTGAGACGCACGATTCTCAAATAAATCAATTTTTTTATCAGGTGGTCGTCTGGAACGTTGATCTAAGAACTATTTATAGATTGAAAATGAAAATACGACACATGATTAAGTGAATTTTAAGATTTCAAGACTGATATTAGTTGCAGAATTATTGTTAAATCAAATGGGTAGGCAGCGTACAACTAATTAAGCCTAGTTTAAGATTTCTCGACGGTTCACGTCATAAACATCTTTTTTAACGATAGCGTATGACGCCATAAAGAACACTTAAGAGTCAAATTTGTGATAGAAACTGGAATTGTTTTCCAACCAGACCAGTTGCAGCATATTGTACTGGTGATTTAATAGGATCTTCCAGCTGTGCAAAACCAATTTATTAACCAGAGTACAATTTAGAACAGATTGTAATAAAAATATGTTTAATTTCGTTATATTGTTGAAAGCAAGCAAAAAACTAACCAGTCTACCATAAAAAGAGTCGCTCGGATATATATTTCATTTGACGCTTTAGTAATTTATTAACCTTAACTTCGTTTCATCAGCTAACTTCGTGTCCTCATTGTCAATGAAAGCACAAATGACATATTGAATGAGAGTGGAGATATCACATATATACACAAACATAGTCAAAACTATTTTCCAAAATTGAAGTACGACCATAAAATGACAAAAAAATCTCAATATCAATTAATGAAAATTCCAAAATGTAGAACGTTAAAAGTTTAATGCTTTTAAAATATTTCACAATGAGAAAAAGTAATCAGACTAGACACATTAACATGTTAAAACAATTTCAATCATTGAAAAAGACTGAATACTAACAACCTTGAAGTACAACATTTGATATGATACTTATCAATGTGATCTTTAATTCTCAAGGTATTTATATATTATTAGAATGGGTTTTGTGGAGAATTTTAGAAATTTCAAAGGTTGAAATCATGAGTCAGTTGAAGCTAGACCATGATTTCAACCTGTGAAATTTCTAAAATCTCCACAAAACCCATTCTGATAATAATAATCAACTGCTCACTAGTGACTGACTTCAGGAAAAACTCCTGAAGTTCTAGTGAGAAGCCGTTATCAGTGGAGTTCAACCGGTCTGTTGTGAGATAACAACTCACTGAAGACAATGGTGTACGGTGGCGCAACTTCGTGGATTGGTTGAAGTTAGACATTAACACCGTTGGATGCCGGCTCAGTGGTCTAGTGGTTAAGTGCTCGCGCGCGAAGCCAGTAGGTCCTGGGTTTGAGCCCCGCGTGGCGCGGGATCGTGGATGCGCACTGCTGAGGAGTCCCATACCAGGACGAAACGGCCGTCCAGTGCTTCCAGGTTTTCAACGGTGGTCTAGCTTCAACTGACTCATGATTTCAACCTGTGGTATTTATATATAACATATGATAGATAATTTTATCACAATGATTATTTTGCTAACCAGTTTTCACAATTATTATCAACAACAAATCACATTTATTGTCAATTAATGTGAATAGATTATTGATGTGATTTGTTAACAAAATAAACATTTCTTGTTTATTTAATGAGATAGTGAATTCACAATGGATGTTTTGTTCAATTTGAAACTTGTCCGTTGAATGTGATTGCGTTCCAGTGTTAATATTCGCAATGAGAATGGAAACCAGTACCTCAAAAAAAAACACGCTAATAATACAATCCTTTACAAATGAGAGTAAATACATTTTCTGAAAGTGTCATTATTAGTTGACAGAATATCATCAAGTGTAACAATGAATAATACCATATTTGTCTAATTCAATTTTGAAATTTTTATGAAAAAGAATTTATTTACACTGTAAAAATATTTTGGATAAATTTATTAATTTTTTTAAATATTAACATAATAGACTACTAATTATCCTTTTAAAACTGCTATATCTAATTATTATCAAATGTAATGTGTTATTTATATGCATAATCATAGAATATAGGCAGTTTAGAAACGGAACGACACAGTGAATGATGTTGATGTCAAAGAAAAACATTCAATATAATGAAAAATTACGTAATAGATGTTGTAAATAAACTTGGATCAATTTGGTTAGATGGTTAAACTTTTATGTAATTATTTAAACATTAGTGACTTTCTTTATTTTTTGAGGTTTCATAATAGAAAGTCAATCCATAAGGTGTCTATAAATATTTTGACACACATCGATAGATATAAGGATATTATTAGTGTCATTTACAGTGCTACGTAGTTAAAGGCATCAAATAATAAATTATTCTAGTTTATGATGACATAGTTTTATTTAGTGAAGACGCTGACAAAATGCATAGTCTTCTGACCACTCTAAGCAACATTGCAAGCATGTTCGGAATGTGATTCTACCCCTCGAAATGTAAAATCTTGCTTCAGGATTGGGTTGCATCGACACCCGAACTAATGATAGGGAGTGAAGTAGTTGAGAGTGTCGATCGCTCCACTTATATTGGAAGTTTCATCAGCCCTTGTGGTCTGGTGTGTGATGAAATCTCAGCACGGATACAGAAGGCTCGACTAGCTTTTGCCAACTCGCGTCATTTATAGAGTAGGCGAGATATCCGCCTATCAACCAAAGGACGGGTTTACTGCGCAGCAGTTCGTTCCGTCCTACTTTATGACAGTGAAACTAGGCAAGTAAGAGTAGAGAATATTTGTATGTTACTAGTATTCGAGTATTGCTCGTTTGTCTTGGTGTTGTGTGTGCTACTTATGTTGACATAAGTAGTATATGATGTTAGTCGAGAACAGAAGGTCTGGCAGCAGAGAGACAAGAGGATCGAACAGTAAAGAATGTAAACAGAATGCAATTTGCATGAAGAAGCAGGAACAATGAAGTCTGAGTCATTCTGAGACAAGTGATGGACATTTTGCAAATTAAGCATTTACTTTATGATTGTTGGATTTTACTAACAAGTCCTGTAAGTTTTGTGTTAAATACATTCGATTGTCCCCACCCGTGTTCTGTTCATTACACGGGGACCACGGAGTAAGTAACTCAGTTGTTAGGAATCGGGTACTAGGTAAGGATGGCAAATCAATTAATGACGTAGTGAAACTTCATCAGTTGAGATGGCTGGGACATGTCTTACGTATACCCAACCACCGACTGCTTCGACGTGCGATGTTTTCTGATGTAGGAGCAGGTTCGAAGAAAACTAGGGGAGGCCAAACCAAAACATGGCACAAATCCATGAAGTCACTGACAAGTGGACTGAACCATGTTGGTAGGTATAAACTACCTGGTTGGGATCCGCGAGATGATAGCAACCGATTGTTAGAGACCCTGAATGACATGGCTCAAAATCGTTTACAATGGCGCAGGTGCATACACTCTTTGTGTTCTCCCAAATTCTAATCTTCTGAATTTGTCATGTCCCTTTTTTCCTCTTCATTTGTCTCACTGTATTATACCCCTTGAATAATATCTTTAAGCTCTAATCTTTCTGATTGCTGCTTATACTCTTACTTCTTCTAATACTACGGGATTTGAATCGACAACTGCATCTCTGTGCTAATGTGGTGTGGCAACTCGAACTGATGTACGTACGTACGAAGTTCTACGTTGTTACTGACTGACTGACTGAGTATATGGGTTGTGGAGATTATTAAGTTTTTGATTGAGATCATGAACCGATTGATGTTAAACCACCACTGAAAACCTGGAAGCACTGGACGGTCGTTTCATCCTATTGTAGGACTCAGCAGTGAGCATCCACGATCCCGCTCACGGGCTTCGAAACCAGGGCCTTCAGCCTCGCGCGCGAACGCTTAACCTACAGGACCACTGAGAGGATTCTCGGAGTTCTAGTGAGAAACCGTGACCAATGGAGCTAATCCGTGTCGGGTAAAGACAGGCATCTACCTCAGTACAGTGGAAGATGGTCGAGCAATCTGATGGATTGGTTAAGGTTAGACATCAACACCATTGAATGCCGGCTCAGTGGTCCAGTAGGTTAAGCGTCCGCGCGCGAAACTGAAGGCCCTGGGTTCGAAACCCGTGAGCGGGATCGTGGATGCTCACTGCTGAGTCCTACAATAGGATGAAACGACCGTCCAGTGCTTCCAGGTTTTCAGTGGTGTTCTAACATTAATCGGTTCATGATCTTGATCAAATTTAGTTCACTACAATAGGCATCTTTATGATTCGTGATAAATAATCAAAAGATTATTTTAAAAACAACAGTTAGTAATTATAAAAGAACATAGAACGAAGATGGACTAGAATGAATTTCCTTAGACATCTTACCGATAGAACAAGAAAAGAAACCAGTTAAACAAAGAGCAAAAAAGACTAAATAATTTTAGTTATAATGGAGAGCTAAAGAAAATATGAGTAACACAATTTAAATTGAAAAATAGACTGAAATACTTAAAACAGCAACACTTTAATTTGAATTCTAGAAGTCAACAAAGAATGAATGTAATGGTGTCATTGTGACTGTGATTTCGCATTACGTCACCTGAATAAATGACTTAATGCCATTGTTATTTTCAAAAATACTTTTATCTGAAATCACGGTGAATACTCTATTAACTACTAACTAACAACAAAAAGTTTGCAAGAATATACATAATACTATCAAAAAGCAATAACATAGTTCAATAAAATGCATCATTGTTTGTACTAAACGTTTATTACTTGAAAGCTATACACTATAATTTGTTAAGAGCATACAAATAAAAGTAACATCATCACTAATCACATGTGCATCATACTTCAATGTCGAAACCAATCAAATAAACTGTCAAGATTTTTCTGAGAAAAAAAAAGACATCATTGGGACCGAAAAACTTCAACTATCACTTTATATACCGGTGTAGATTTGTGTGTGAACGTCAACTTATTTGCATGACTAAAATCTTTACGTAATCACAAAAATTCATAAATCTTCAGGTGGTTAACACATTAAAAAAAAATTGTGACATAACATCTATTAATGAAATAATCGAAACCTAAATATAGAAAATTTATATGATTTGAAAGATTTACCAACTGAATTGTTTGTGATTCAAACATAGATTTCAGGAATGATTCTAAACCAGGACAAGATTGGCAAGCGATAAGAGCGTTTAAATCTACTTCAGGATTTGCATCTCGTCGAATTAAACATTCTGTATAACAGCCTATTCGTAGACAAAGAGCAAAATCAGTTGGAAAATTAATTTAGATTTTTCACATAATTATTGGATATATCGAAAATAAACAAGTAGAAATCAATAGATTATTAAGAATATTACAGAAACTCCCACAGTCTTAGCAACAGTGGATAGTAATAGTAGTTTGGTGTATGCTGCTCATGTCAACAGGCACAAGTAATATGTAACACTAATCGGAAGTGGAAAATCTGACAAGAGAAGGCTAAGAATATCGAGTTGAAGAGAATAGAAAGGAATTGTGAATTGGAAGAACCATAAACAATGTGAAGGACAAATGATGAAAATTTACAAATGAAATATTCAATGTATGGTTTCCAAATTTTTATGAAAAAATTCTGTAATTTTGCTATAAACAATAAATTGTTTGTAACCACCTGTGTTCTTGTTCACTAGAGTAGTACGAAACAATCTTCTTAAAAAATAATATATCGTGAGGATGTGAAAATAGAATATAATTCTTGGTTTCCAAACTGATTATGTAGCAGGTTCACAGTTTAATCCACTTACTGATTACTTAAATACTTACTCCTGTTACCCCTCATCGAAGAGCGTAGCCCACCCACCGGCATTTTCAATCCAACTCTACCCTGAACAATTTTTTCCAGCTCTTTTCAGCTATTATTCATCCTTTTCATGTCCGTTTTCAATTCTCAACGAAGTGTATTCTTTGGCCTTCTTTTTCGTTTTCCTTCAGGATTCCAAGTTAAGCCTTGTCTCGTGATGCAGTTTGGTTACTTCCTCAATGTACGTCCTATTCACTTCCAACGTCTTTTCCTGATTTTCTCCTCAGATGGTATCTGGTTTGTTCTCTTCCACAGTAGGCTGTTGCTGATGGTATCCAGTCAACGGACATTAAGTATCTTGCGTAGATAATAAATACTTGTACTTTTTTATTGATAGTTGTAGTAGTTCTTCAAGTTTTAGCTCCGTACTAATAGAAGACATGAAAATGTTTTATCTAAGAGTATACAATTTCCATCATACCTTTGATTGCTTAGCATCAGTTTAGAAAAACACCACAGAGATACAATTATTCTACGTTACACACTAAATAGGTTTTATTTTGAAAAAAATATGTTTTTTCTCAGTCAAAAGTAGTTGCAAATGAGAATTTTCAATAACATACTTCACTAAGTAAGAACATGAATTGAAATTTATAGGAACTACAAAACCAAATCAAAATAAGCAAGTTAAGTTTGAAAAGTTATAGTACAAAAGAATCCAAATGAATTTATGAGTAAAGTATCATATTAGAACCATGTTTGATAACTCAGAAATATGTACGATATATTAAACACAATGAGAAAAATAAAATTGTGAATCTGACTAAAAGAAAGTTAAAGAAATAATAGATTTTAAATGAGAACCAAAAAACATTGTAAGTTGAATAGACAATTTCTTAAATATAGCTCTTGTCAGAAAATTTAAATGTAGCTCTGAAGTTCTGCTCTACTCAGTATCTCGTAATAGAAACTTTGATACTACAGAAAACGTCCTAACATTCATAGTTGGTAATTAGTTGATGAATAAATAATAATAATAATAATAGTTGGTGAATAAATAATGTTTGTTGCATCGTTCTGCCAACAACCCTCTTAAGTTACAACAAAAAGAATGATTGGAACAGAAAAATATGCTGATTACTGTTTAGTGTGGTACTAAGTTACTTATTCATGATATCAATATAAAATTATCAAAATCACAATTTCGATGTCATTAAAAATTGGTGAAGATGTATTTACCCGATGTATTCCCATAGATCCTGATGTTCAAAACTATCTTATACATCTTGTTATTCTACGAATTTATTACTTTTTCTTGAATAACGTCGTGCATACTTAATATTATCAACTACTATTACTACTGATATTGTTAGCACTTCTGTTTTAACACTTGACTCTATAATTTTGTCTCACTGTGTTAACGTGGTATGGTAAGCTGAATTGATGTAACCATATGCTAGGTTCTACATTCGCTGCGTCTGACTGACTGAAATGGATTAAACCAATGGAACTGAAGACTGATGACGGACAAGCAATCACTGGTATCCACCCTGATAATGTGAACAATGGAGCTATAACGGCACGAACCCCAAATTTAACGAAGAATTTACACTTTAGTATAAAACAGAATAGCTTTCCCATAAAACAGCATAATTCAGTCACGAAAATCAACATACAACTTGAAAAAATCTCTTTCGGAAACAACTACACAGTTAAAGTGGGATAGTGAAATTCAGGCATTTCGAAGTAAACAAATCATACATAAAACATTAGTAGTAGAGTGGCAAAACGATCAAAATGATGAATAAACTGTACATTTGTATCGAGGCATAACATTAGTAGTTACTTATTCATGGTATAGTTTAAATTCCCGACCGTAGTGCCTATCGTGATGACCCGACCTAGCTATATTGGCTGGAACATATGTTCCTGTAGGTTCTACCATGCTACGCAGGTTGATTGGAGAACGGTAAGACTAAAAGCAGCAACTCAAGGTCTGAGAGCGAAGTCGTACTGCTGACTGTAGAGAAGTGTGACAGCAGTAAGGTGTTTCCCTCGGACAACCAGCATGACAGCGATGCTGTCTTCCCACAAGGAGGGGTGGGGTTAGAAAAGGTGGACCCTAAAAATGTCACACCTCACTTTACCTCACGGATTTCCGTCTCCGGTGGTAAGGCCCTTTGAAGAACGGAGCTAACACATTAAAAACCTTCCACGAAAAGACCGTGTGGGATCGGCCTCAAACAGTTGTCCCTTGAGCTCTGCGGTCACGCTCCCAGGTCGTCAAGACCAACACTAATCCAATTTCCTTTTCAGGTTCCTCAAGAAATACCCTTCCACGGTGTGTGCAGCCGGGAAGTGACACTAGCCCTCATACCCGTAACAGCACACGAGACCAAGTTGGTCACATTCAAATACTTACTACACCTAATAATAACTCTCCTATCTCCACGACTAACCCTTCTCACATCTCTTTATCACCTCGCACCGCTAGGGCAAACGATTCGAGTACGCGAAACGTTATTCCTGGTCTCTTGAAACCACGCTCTAAACTACATGTACGAGCTTTCAACGTCCGAACACTGTGCCAAATAGGACAACAGGCTTCCTGAGCTAGGTCTTAAGAATCTTGCGCCATCGATGTGTGCAGCGTCTCCGAAACGCGCATACAGGATTCGAGTAGTGTCGTTCATTTGACCTCAACACGTCAAAGTAACGAACCAACTCGATTCACACTTCGTGTATCTGGAAGCCCAGATTCTGCTTCCCGTGGCCTCGCTGGTGTAGTCCTAAGGTCTTAGGGCAGAACTAGCTCTCTTAGACTGGATCCCAGTAGACAGTCGTTTGTGCGCAGTCCGATTAAACGGAACAGTAAGGACTCGGAAGGATAGGGACACTCGTCGTTGCCTCTTCGTCGTCTCCGCCTATTCTGCCATTGACTGCAGCCCAGATGATGTAAAAGATGAGTTTTACAGAAAGTTTCCCGACCTTCTCCGAAAAGCTAAGCGCTCGGATGTAGTAATAGTGGCCGGTGACTTTAATGCTCAAGTAGGTAAACTAAGCGATAGGGAAAGACACCTAGGTGGATCTTACGGTGTCGTGGCTCAAAGAACAGATAATGGCGACCGTCTGTTGCAGCTATGCTCAGATAACCGCTTGTTCCTTGCAAATACTAACTTTAAGCATAAGGAAAAACGTCTTTTAACATGGCGACCTCCTACTTCGTCCCAACGTTGGACCCAAATAGATCACATCGCTATCAGCCACCGATGGAGGGGCTCGATAGAAGACTGTCGCTCATTCTGGAGCACATGCCTAGATTCAGATCATGCTCTAGTGCGAGCGCGTATTTGCTTGCGTCTTACTGGACGTAGGAAAGACGCTGCAAGGAAACCTCTTAGGGGCCTACTTAATGATAGTCAAGCTAAGAATATATTTCAGGAACAACTAGGAAAACAGTTAGGCAGCCATGTATGTGATGCCCACACCGATGCAGCATGGAATGATATCCGAAAAGCGATGAAAATAGCAATGGTATCTTTTAGTAAGGTAAACCATAAGGTCAGGGAGAAACACTGGATCTCAGCAGCAACGACCGAAATGACAGATGCCCGAAAACCCATTTCATCTGGCTCTGAACATAATGAAGAGCGAAGTCAGCTTAAACGTAAGCTGACAAGAAGTCTACGCAATGATCGTGAACAGTGGTGGGTAGCGAAAGCAAGAGAGATGGAAAAGGCAGCGGCAATAGGTAATAGCAGACAATTGTTCAGACTCGTTAAGGAAACCGGAATTACGAACCCGACCGTTAGCGAAACAATCTCAGAGAAAGATGGACATATTATTCATTCTCAATCCAGGAGATTGGACCGATGGGCAGAACACTTTATGGATCAGTTCAACTGGCCTTCAGCCACACTCCGGTTTCCCACGATCTCCAGTCAACCTGAATGGCAAGTTAATGTAGGTCCTCCGTCCCTTTACGAAGTTGAAAAAGCCATACGAAATCTGAAACGAGGGAGAGCAGCAGGCCCTGATAGGTTTACTCCTGAGATTTTTAAGGATGGTGGTCCAGAATTAGCAGTGAGATTAACTGAGGTCTTAGGTAGAATTTGGGAACTGGACGTAATCCCATCTGATTGGTCTCAATCACTGATTGTGCCAGTCTATAAGAAAGGACAAAAGTCCTCTTGTGACAATCACAGAGGAATCAGTTTGACTAATATAGTGTCTAAAATATTAGCTTCAAAAATACTTCGACGCCTAATCAAAGCTCGTGAAGAGCAGATTAGAGAAAACCAGGCCGGTTTTCGACCTGGATGTGGTTGTATAGATCAGATATACACACTACGTCAGGTTCTAGAACATAGACACACATTCAGACGCCCCACAATGGTATTATTTCTCGACCTTAAAGCGGCATTCGACTCTCTGGATTGTGAGGTTCTATGGCAGTGTTTGTCACTGAAAGGAGTACCAAAGAAGTACATTAACCTTATAAAGGCTCTCTACTCGAACACAACTGGTAGAGTGAGAGCTTATGGCGAACTGTCATCAGAATTGATTACCTCAAGTGGTGTTCGTCAGGGCTGTCCACTCTCCCCATTCTTGGTCAACTTTGTCGTCGACGTACATTTAGAGATCACACTCTCCTCAACTAAATTTCCAGGGGTTGAACTTCTACCGGGAGGTTCACTTGTTGACTTAGAATATGCCGATGACATAGTCCTATTTAATGAAGACGCTGACAAAATGCATAGTCTTCTGACCACTCTAAGCAACAATGCAAGCATGTTCGGAATGTGATTCTACCCCTCGAAATGTAAAATCTTGCTTCAGGATTGGGTTGCATCGACACCCGAACTAATGATAGGGAGTGAAGTAGTTGAGAGTGTCGATCGCTCCATTTATATTGGAAGTTTCATCAGCCCTTGTGGTCTGGTGTGTGATGAAATCTCAACACGGATACAGAAGGCTCGACTAGCTTTTGCCAACTCGCGTCATTTATAGAGTAGGCGAGATATCCGCCTATCAACCAAAGGACGGGTTTACTGCGCAGCAGTTCGTTCCGTCCTACTTTATGACAGTGAAACAAGGCAAGTAAGAGTAGAGAATATTTGTAGGTTACTAGTATTCGAGTATTGCTCGTTTGTCTTGGTGTTGTGTGTGCTACTTATGTTGACATAAGTAGTATATGATGTTAGTCGAGAACAGAAGGTCTGGCAGCAGAGAGACAAGAGGATCGAACAGTAAAGAATGTAAACAGAATGCAATTTGCATGAAGAAGCAGGAACAATGAAGTCTGAGTCATTCTGAGACAAGTGATGGACATTTTGCAAATTAAGCATTTACTTTATGATTGTTGGATTTTACTAACAAGTCCTGTAAGTTTTGTGTTAAATACATTCGATTGTCCCCACCCGTGTTCTGTTCATTACACGGGGACCACGGAGTAAGTAACTCAGTTGTTAGGAATCGGGTACTAGGTAAGGATGGCAAATCAATTAATGACGTAGTGAAACTTCATCAGTTGAGATGGCTGGGACATGTCTTACGTATACCCAACCACCGACTGCTTCGACGTGCGATGTTTTCTGATGTAGAAGCAGGTTCGAAGAAAACTAGGGGAGGCCAAACCAAAACATGGCACAAATCCATGAAGTCACTGACAAGTGGACTGAACCATGTTGGTAGGTATAAACTACCTGGTTGGGATCCGCGAGATGATAGCAACCGATTGTTAGAGACCCTGAATGACATGGCTCAAAATCGTTTACAATGGCGCAGGTGCATACACTCTTTGTGTTCTCCCAAATTCTAATCTTCTGAATTTGTCATGTCCCTTTTTTCCTCTTTCCAAGTTTGTCTCACTGTATTATACCCCTTGAATAATATCTTTAAGCTCTAATCTTTCTGATTGCTGCTTATACTCTTACTTCTTCTAATACTACGGGATTTGAATCGACAACTGCATCTCTGTGCTAATGTGGTGTGGCAACTGATGTACGTACGTACGAAGTTCTACGTTGTTACTGACTGACTGGATGGCATAGCACGATAAACAACTATCTATAAAGTTATGCGTAAGGAATTCTGGAGAACTCGAAACTCATATACTTATAAACAGTCAGATTTCTTATATTCCTAAACGGATGTATTCTGATAAATCTTTCTAAGCGTTTACAAAATGAACAAGTATACTAGTACCAACTTACCTAAGAGATTAACAATCAATTCAAAAAATGGATGAGTTAATCTTTCAAAACATCTAAGTATTTCACCATTAACTTGTTTCCAATCATCATTTTTTAGTTTTTTTGAATTCATCGTCTCATTTAATTGTCGTTGAATTTCTTTTAATTGATGATGTAAAAAACTATACTAAAGGAAGAAAATGAAATCGAAATGAGTACAATAACATGTGATTAGTATTCTATTGATTAATATCAGTAGTATTAGCAAATGTATGGTAGGATGAGTTCTTTGTTATTCCTTCGAGTGACCTTGTTGATGAGTGCTAAATAGTATGAAGCTTAGGCTTAGGATATAAAGGAACATAATATTGAAAATCTTCTAGAGACCAATCAGTGTAAACGTAACGTTTCGTTGATTAGATGTGTAATAAAAACTATATAATAATGAGAGTTAAACTCATGACTGAGTTATTATTTTTTATAAGGTTAGATCTTTTTTTATGAACTTAAAGTAGGAATAACGACTAAAGCAAAATAATATCAATGCATTAAAATTTTGTCAGTTCTCACTAAGTACTCACGACTTTATTCGCAATGTAGGATAAAATAACATGAAAGAATCAATTTTGGAAAATAAAAAAATCTGAAGAGATAAGGGTTATCAGCATTACGTATATACACATAGAAGAATGTGTAAGGTTATTTAAGCTTAGATTTAAAAAAAAACATAAAGAGAATAAAACAGTAGTTGCTTAGAATTCGAAATTCCATATGATAATTAGGGCAATAGTTATTGATGATTAAGGGATTTACATAAGTTTTAAGATTCAACTAATTGGGAATCACATAGTGAAGGTAAGGGTATTTTTAAAGTAGATTGAATAACAATTAATTAAGTGAAGAATGTATATTGTGGTAAAAAGTTAAATAAAAATAAGTAATACCTAATTAGCAATTTTTTCCTTAACTAAAATTCTTTGAACATGAACATTTTAAAATGAGTGAAAATTGTCGTCAATATGAGCACTAGCGGTAATTCACTCTTCAGTGAACTGTTTTGAACTAATAAAAGTGGTTGCACATTTTAGCATCAACTACATTGATTATTTAATTTACTCATTATCTTACACTAAGAATAAGACTATAGGTAGCTGATAAAAACCAATGAAATCATAATATGTTCGTATTACTAGGATTCAATTGTTGTTATTGCTTAATTAAAAATAAATGTTTTATTCGAAATCTTTTGAGTCTAATGAAATTGATTAATTGGATTTTACTGAAGAAGGAAGGCGATTCAGAGAAGAAAAATTTCCGACGATTTCCAGACACATTTCTTCGCTAAAGTGACTTCTTTCTACTTCACTAACACAATGAGTCTCAATCGTTATTTAAATTGAATTTTATTCCATAAGTCACTTTTGTATTTTATTCAGTTAAAGTTTACTCAAAATTTGACTAGTAATCGATGTGCAATAAATTTATAAAAACCAATCTACTGAGACATTTTTTGATTTATTTTAGGTGTGTACACGTGACCCTCTTTTATGTTGGTTACACCGAATACACTAACTAATCAATTAGTATATGTTTACGTTCAGAATTCTTTATTACGTAATCAGCCTCTGGTTATCAAAAAAGTAAGCATTATTTTGCCAAATATCTCATGATAATGTTATATAGTGATTCAGAAAAAAAGAAGAAAACATTACAAGCATGTGATGTGTAACCACAATCTTGTAGATACTATTCTGTTAATATATCTTATGAATAATAAACGCGTATTTTTTATAATTGATTATTATAACATTTTCTGACAGACATATATTATAGTCGGAAGGAAAGACTGGCCTATAAAAATTCACTAAATATAATTCAGTCAAATAGTTACAACTTCAATATTATGACCATGATATTGTTGCATGTAACATTAACTACAGCCATACGAATCGAATATAAGCATGAATATCAAGCTTTACAATAAACATATTAAAAAGGAATGATTAATTTATAGTGTACTGAATAATACGTTACTCAAATATATTTCTCAGCATGAAATAACCTGCCTTCAGAGTCAATAATGAGTATCTAACTTAATTTTTTTAAATCGCTGAATGCAAACAGAGTAATTTACTATCAGAAATTCAGTGGTCAACTTTATTTTAAAGATAAAAGATCTTTAATCAAAACAATTTATAATGTTAATTCTATAAACTGAATAAAAAACAATCCGAATTTTCAAGGAATATTTTCACTTCTTTTTAAGATGCCAAGATGAATAAATAGTTACTGAACTGGTTTTGTGGTAAATCAAGGATTCTTGACAAAAATTTTCATCTAATTTTCGGATACTTCAACAGCATGTGTACTCATGGTTCTTGCATTGGACTGCATTATAGAACTTCGATGTTTATAAAGGAAAACAAACAATTCAGTTACTGAATTATAAATCCAGTGCTCACCACCTTCAACTACAGTGAATTCGTGATATCATGTGGTACTTAATTATTGTTTTCCTTGAGTTATTTTATAATTCCTAACTTGATAAACTCTGTTGTTAAGATGAAAAAAAGTTACCATTTGTTAAACATATTCAACTTCTTATTCTCTAAAAAAGCCATATTTTCAATAAATATTATATAGAATCACTTGATTGAACAATTACTCACTATTGCTTTTGGTGTACCCAACTCCATATCCATATGTTCAGTATGTAAATCATTTGTAGTTGGTTTATGCACAAAAATTTGACCCAAGTCCAAATCCACTAAACGTGTTCCAGCGGTTAAATGCTCTTTTGCCTTCTAATAATTATGATGATAATGTTGATTAATAATATTTTTTAAATTATATATAAGAGAAAGAAATCGAAAAGAAAACAATATTCAAAGAATGAATAATTGAGCAAAAAGAAGAAAATGATGGGGAAAATTAAGTATTCAACATAATCAACACTGTTGTAAAATAACTATTGTAACAGGGAAGAAATTAAAACAATGGAAAATTAAAATGAGTAATTTTATTATGTGAGGGAAGTGGCGATGATGATCGAAGAAATAAACAAAAGAAAAACTTACCTCTAAATTACAAGAATGTATACCAGCTACAAATGGAACTGGACATCTAAACAGTAAGGCTATGGATAGTAACCGATTAAAATGCAATCAACTTACTCCAAAACACCGAGTACTTTGTCTGGAATTAGTGGATAAAATGAATGAGCCCTAAAAGGTAAAAGAAAAAGGAAGTTTGAAAGTTTAAATGCTTAAAGAAAAATTGATTGTGTTTGAACATATTATTTAATTGGATGGATTAAGAAAATTATTCATCTAATTGATGTCAGTCCATGATAAAAACAGACGTTATCTTAGTGGTATTTCCATATTTTCAAACGCTTTGCAATCTTATCTACATAGGTCGCTGTAACAAACTGTTATATCCCAATGAGAATTATGAAAGGTAAATTTTGAGAAATATTTATGTACAAATATAATACGTATATTCTTAATGAATAATCATTCAGGAGCTAGATTGTGTATATCCATAATCCTCTTATTATAAGCTTTATTTTGACCCATAGCCTATTATTATACGATTTGCTGATCTTGAGTTATGCACAGTTTATTCATTACAGTCTCCCACATCCTCAACAACGTTTGGCTGGACCTTGTATAAGTGTTGTTTTTTATTTTATAGTATGATGTGGTCTGTTTGGTTTGTATATAAACCCAGTATGTTTGAAATACATGATTCATGTCGCGGAGGCTGGGATTGGTGTTCTGAACTTAACAGGAAAGGCTAGACAAGGAGAAGGCTCGATAAAGAATCTGGACTGGTCGTACGGGTTTACGCGTCATTGGTCCGGTTGACAAGTCACTGTTTTCTAATTGGCGGTATCACTACGTTATATATTAATAGGGTACAAAGCCAAAAGTTATAACACAAACAACTAAGACAGACTGACAACAATTATTTAAAACTAATTTCTCAACTCACTTGATATTGTTTTACTTGAATCTTCCCATTGATGTTTTTGGACTGAAATTGATCAGTCTCTTATTGGCATATGTGCATACTGTGTGTATGCCTCGATATTGCCTTAATTTACAAGCATTATAAGCAAAGATGGATAGTGGCTAGCAGTGGAATCCAGGACGCGCGTTTCGTCCTGTTTGGGACTCGTCAGATGGATGTACCTGCATCTCAGAGTTGATGTTCACTCTGGGACTCGAACTCAGTACCGTTCGCTTCAAACGCCATCGCGTTATCCACTTAGCTACTGAGTCCTGATAGCCACTTGCTTGTGCAATAGGTTGAAGTTTAATTCACTTGATATTGTTGGCATATGTGCATACTGTGTATACAAAGACGTGAATAAGTGACTGGACAATTTGATGTGCATGCATATATACTTATTCATCTACTTTTATGCAGCTAGAGTTTATAGATCATAAATGAACAACTATGTTCTGACGCATTAGATGGCTGATAATAGTAAAGAACAATGTAACATACAGTTGATCATAATCACTTAACATCAGAATCATTTGACATTTCACCTATGAGATAAAATCCAATTTTATCGTACTCTGGCTTAGTAGAAGTGAAGTGATCAGAATACAAAACATGAAACATGATCTATCTCTACAAATACAGTTTACTTGACTGTATTAACTGAGATCATATTTGTTCTCTTTGAGATTTCGTATTTTCTATTCGCGTTTCTACCCTTATCTTCTTTTCTCAATAATCAATTAAATTCTATTATTTTCTATTAAAATTTACCAATTCAATTCATTCTTTTATCATAATTAGGATTATCGTCTTTAATTAAAAACTTATATTTAATTTGCAATAACTTTCATTAACATATTTTCTAAAATAAATCACACCATTATATCTTTAGTTATGTTATCGCATCATTTATGACTTCTTATCACCATCTCCAATTGCTTCTTTTATACTTTCTAGTCGGATTAATGATTTATTTAATTTTACTTACGAAAATATGGAGTACATTTAATCGACTACGTGTATGGTAAAAACTAATCAGACTTGTTAATTGATTAATTATTTCCGTGAAAAAAAGGAATACAATTTCACAACTGATTGGAAAAAACAACACACATCAACTGAATATGACAATGAAGAAAGAAAATTTTCTTTACGCTGAAATATTTGATATTTATATATACAATAATTTTCAAATTGGATCGACCTGAAATGACCACAGTTTGAAAAAAGATCTATTCAATCAAACGAGAAGTAATAAAGACACGAGAATAGGATATTGAAATAGAACAAAAACAGATAACTACGGAAGACACTTATGATAGTAAAAAGGTAATGATGAACTTTAGGAAAAACCAAATTATCAGTATGGTGTTGTGAAGACTCAAACAAGTTGGTTTTTGATTGAGATCATGAACCGATTGATGTTAGACCACCAGTGAAAACCTGGAAGTAATGGACGGCCATTTCGTCTCATAGTGGGACTCCTCAGAAGTGAGCTTCCACGATCCCGCTCGCGACATTTGAACCCAGGGTTGCTGAGAAGTCCCACAACAGGACGAAGCGACCGTTCAGTGCCTCTAGATTTTTCATGGTGGTCTAAAATTAATCGGTTCATGATCTCAATCAAAAACCAACTTGTTTGAGTCTTTAGAAAAAACTATAAAAAGACTGAATGTCATTGTTTACATAAAATCAATATATATATATATATATATATATAGAATTATAAAATTTTAGAGATCAAGTATTTATTTTAAACTACAATAATAGTCTGGAAAAAATGTAGGAACAACCAATTAGCGGAGTTCGAACTTAAGACTGATCTATTTTTGTTGTATCTTGCGATGTTTTCAGTCCGAAATCTACGGTAAATTCTTTATTGTGAACAAAATTATTCTCATATGAACTACAACTTTACATTGTTTCAAGCTGGTGACCATCAGTTTCATAAAGATTGCTTTATCTTTTCAACCACTGCGTTGCTATTTGATAGTTTACATTTCAAACTTCAGTTTTTGTGATCATTGACAGATATTGACAAAAATAGTGTAATCGGGTAAGTTTTATAATCTTGCTAGGAAAATCACAAGCTATTCAGTTGTTTTTGAATTAGTATTCGTTCTTTCTTGTAATATTAGCTCTTCCACAGTATATTTGTTTTGACTCATTTCTTCACATAACCTTTGCTGTTTTTTGACTGTTCGTTGTCACTTTTAGTTTACCATTTTTCTGTGTCTTAATGCCAAGTTCGGTGGTCATATATTTTCATATAATTTCACTTTAATTTTGCCTTTGATAATTATCATGGTTAAAGAATTGTGAGTTAGTTGCTGCCTTATCAATGAGACCTTCTATATACTAGGACACAAATTTTGTTTAGTGCTTGCTAATTTCTTAACGTTATTTATTCTTAAATCTGTGTCTAAAAATGATAGATATTTTCAAAGTGTACAGTCATTCCAATTATTCGGCATTACTCAAACAACAATGTTTCATTCAAGAATAAATCCCATTCTAGTTCGATAGATTAGGAAAACGCTAGATAGTTATCTAAAGTTATTTCATTTAAAAATTCAAGGATATCTTTTGCATCATCAAATAGACAAGTGATTACACATTTCTAATTATCAGCTGGTGATATCAAGTTAAAGTACGTGTACTATAATGAGGCCAAAACAACAATGATAATGAAAAAATGGTGCCTGGATGATAAACATGAACAGGAAATAAATCATTTACCATTGTTTAAAAATTCCATTGGGAATCTTAAATAAATATCATTGAACCTTAACTAGTGTCTTATTCAAACACACAAAAAGTCATAAATTAATTAAATGTTTCCCCTGGTTTCAGTTTTTTTCTCACTAGGTAAAATATAATTATTTGTTAAAGAAACAGGTTCCAAACACAGTGATAACAAAAACAAACAACGAAATTGAATGGGTGGGAATTGGTAATATCATTCAACTCTCAATGAAATTAAGACAAACAAGAGAAACATCCACGTTTCTATAGAGCCACTAAAATAAAATCTAAGTATTGAAAAAATAACAATAATACGTAGAAAAGAGATATACTAAAACAAGTCAGTAAAAAAAGTAAGTCTAAGGAACTAAAAAAGGTGGAATTTAAGGACCAGTGTTTGTTGAGAACTAATGTGTAGAGAAATTTCGTATTTGCTTGATTACAATATGAAAAGCAACATATACTGTTATAAAAGGAGTAAATAAATTCATTTAACTAATTTTAAATGCTAAACATAAATAATTTTATGAATAAGGTGTGGTTTTAAATATGTATATTTATGTAAAACATGGATGAAGTAATAATACATTACTGGAAAAAAACAGCCAAAGTTAGATTAGTACGTTTTCATGTCTGTATTATAGTTATTAGTACGGTTATACTCATTAGTCCCTGAATTCATATCATACCTATGTGCGTACTAGTGGCTAACTTTGGAGGATAATTGATAAGTTCTAATGACAAGCCGTGAACAGTAAAGTTCAAGTAAGTCGAGTGTGAGGCAACTACACACTAATAACATTAGAAGATAGTCCCGAAATTTCGCGAGTTGACTGAAGATAAAATGTTATCCACTGTTTGTTGATTTAATGAGCTGAACGATAGGTACTTATTTTCAAAATCTAATGGCTTGAATTCAACTTCTAGGGGGTCCATAAACAAAGACTGCTGAGGAGACCAATACTAGGAAAAAACACCTGTCTAATGTTTCCTGGTTTTCAATGTTCTAAATAAGGTACGTTTGTAATGTTAAATATAAAATTCAATAATCTTCACAAATCCATTACACTAACGTTATCAACAGAACTTACCGTGTACAAAATTCATGTACTCAGCTTTGAGTTATACCACTTTATATGATATTAATCAACTGTTTACATAGCGGTAAGTTAGGCATTATTGAAATATGTAACCTATTTCTGGTTCTAAATCAAGTGCTTAAACTATCATTATTACAGTGGTTGTAATTGCTATTCTTATCATAATTAACAAAAAATTTCACAATGAACGTTTTAGTAGGCTACATTGTGTCCAATTCCTTTTGGTTGTTATGCATCAATAACAACTAAAGCTTGTATGATGATGAAAAAAAACCAATATACTGCATTAATCCATAAATGTTACATAAGAAATCACAATATCATGTTTCTAAAAACATTAATCATATTACGAAAGAAATCTAGTA